CTCTGTATGTTGCTATACGGCAGGTAGCCAGTGAAAACGAACTCGTTTGATCCAATTATGGAAATGCAAGCATTACTTTAAACAAACAGAACTTTGTTATTCCTGACTCATATTTCCTGATTGAGGTGGCATATGAAAGGACAGAAATTGAACTTTCTAGAAATGTGATTTTCTTTTTAAAATTCAGATACCGCCCGCCAAATGACTTTTTGGTTTCATCTCTTCAAATTGCTTTTAATCACTCATGCGTGAGATATGAATCATATGAGTTGCATCAAATGAAAGAGGAGGATCTTAGCTTTCCAAATATGTGTCATTTGTTAACTATAATTGTGATTAAGTTATGATAAAACATCGATAATTCTCGGTTTCGTTTTCTCTGGGACGCACTGTATAATACACGTGTATGATGATCTGAACGGGTAACTCTTTGAGAGTGTTATACCGTGCTCATAAATTGTAAAAATTCATATCTAAAAAAATTGTTAACATTATGAAATTAATAAAATCAGGTGGACATTTCCGGGATGATGGACCACATAGGGCGTTACCTATCTACGATCCGATGTACCATGATACCATCCGTAAATATATTCTTATGTCGTGTTTATTTCCACATAATTACGTAGACATGTCTAATTTCTTCATCTTGATAAGTTGTACTTGAAGAAAAAGAAATGAAATTCACTCCAGTTTGATAACATACTTGTAAGTAAAATCAAAACAGGAGCAAATGCACAATAAAACATATAAACAAATTACTATAGGCACTCATAACACAGAAATAGGGGGAAATACAATATTTTATTAATTCATTTCATTTAATTTATTGGTTCAACCATTTTTTAAAAACAACATTCAGAAATTCAAACAATGTTCGAAGGACACATACAAAACATGTTGGACATACAAAATAAAAATGGTTAGGGAACCCAAGAGAAGCTTAAGCTTGTAAGTGGGGTTCCCTGTACAATAAACAGGTAAAATTGTATAACACAAACCAGATTCAGTCTTCCTATATTATAATTCTACAAACGATTTGAAACCTGTATTGCCTATCCTACAAATTAATTGTTCACATGGAAGTTACAGTAACACGCAATATTACACAGATGCAATGAGTTACCAGTATGTCCATAGTGAAAGATTGGGAATATGCTTATACATAGTATTACAACAGATCAGTATAGATATAAAAATAACTAACTTATAAAAGACCGATTATGCTATAATAGAAAACAAGTACAATCTCTCTTATAAATGTAATGCTTCCTGGGAGAAATTTCAATTGTTTAAACAAAGTTTTTGGCGTTACTGCCCAGTAAATAAAGATGGCGTTCTCGGTCTGTAATTGAAAACATTCAGCAAAAAAATCTAGGAACCAGCGGGATTTACATCGAGCACGCGATCTTTTATTTACTTAGTAAGCCAAATATTTAATATCATTATTTCCTTTTTATCCTGCCCGCTCTCTCTCTCTCTTTCTTTCTTTCTCTCTCTCTTCCTCCATATATTTATATTAGTCTTATGACTTTGCTTGAGGGGAAGTCCATCCAGATATTAAGTTGATTTTAATAAAAGCAGAACATGAGAAGAACATTTTAGTAAAAGCTTGGTGGAAGTCGGACGGCTCCAGAGTGAAATATGCTCCGACCGCAGGCCCGTTGGTTTGCGTACGATAAGGGGTTGGGTGTCCGTGTACAAACATAAAGCCCTCTCTTTTGCCTTCAGATTTATCGAAAAGTATTCATAACATAGCACTAACTACTAAATATTTGTCCTTTACGATGAATGTTGAAGATTCATGAAATATTGCCTGTAAACTTCTTAACATTGCAGTTTTAAATCAAATGTCAGGATGCAGTATATTCTGACAAAGCGAACAATGGGTATGAGGACCAGAATAAGAGTAGGCGTACTGAATTGTTGTCATCTACCCAGTACTTGTGTATGGTAGTGAAACATGGACTTTAGCCTCTGATACTAAAAAGCGTTTGGAGTGTTGCGAAATGTGGTTTTTAAGAAGAATGATGAAAATCCCCTGGACTGACAAATTTAGTAATGAGGAAGTTCTTACACGAACTGGAGTGCAAAGGAAAATGATACGTGAGATGTTGATTAGGCAGTTGAAGTTCATGGGTCACATTACACGTAAAGAAGGCCTAGAGAATCTTGCTTTGACAGGGAAAATTGTGGGAAGAAGGAGGATACTTTGGATGGACAGTGCAGAAATTGTAGGAAAAGAGAGCAGTGAAAGAACTGGGAGTGGCACTAATACAGAAGGCTAGGAGCCGAGGGTTGTGGAACAGCATGATCGCCAAAGTCAAACGATATGGCACTTAGAAAGAGAGAGTCCGGATCTTAGTACACAACAATTCCAAAGTTCTTTCTTAATGCACAGCTAGCTAATACTATATATAAGTGTTATGTGACATTACTTAGTGGCATCGGTAAGTATTAAGTAAATTGAAAAGTCTTGAAGGTGGGAATATATGATTGATTTGCGTGACCCACAAGTTGCTGTCGGTCATGTTGGTTGCGTGTCCGGACAGATTGGTTATCCGGATTGTTGATTTCAAAAAGCAATTCAAACAGGTTTATAAGGAATATTTCACAACTTTTTAAAGACATCCGTGCCAGTGTCAGGGTAAGTATCTATGAGAGTAAGTTATTTGACGCATCTTTTCAAGAATATAGATTTTAAGTTACATCGAATCTGCCCCCAAATCTAAATAGTTAGAACAAAAAATAATTCTCTCTTTTCATTACATTCAACTTGCAAATTTGAAAGGAAGAAACGTGGCCCAAACAATAACACTTGTAATGTATCCCTGAATAAAACAGCTTGCCAAGGACTTTACGAAAGGTTTTCACTCCAGAATACTTCCAAGCAGGGGCTTATCCATAAATTTGTCCAAAAAAAAAAAGGGAGAATATGATACAATTAAGAGGTACTATTTTGACATGTACTGTACAGCAGGTATGTCAATAGGATTTCTTCTGAGGGGAGGAGGGGGGGGGGGGGGGGGGGGGAGGGGGGTATAGGTGATTTATGCTGAAATAAGGACTTTGCTTATCTATTCTATTATGTTACGGTATATCAAATGTATTTGTAATTGTATTTGATGTAAATTTGTAATGATTTCAAAAAAACAAATAATTGAATTGAAAACTTTTATTCAAAGACACATAACTGTTCTTCTTGTTCTGTCATTTATTCAAAGATGTCCAGTATGGCAGCTGAGGTAAACAGTGATCCAGTTGGGTTCCAGGACCTTGTCTTGGGTGAGACCGAGGCAATTCCTGAGCAAGAGTCCAACACAGTGAGAATCTTCCTCAGCTCTACATTCACAGGTAAAAACATTACATTACTAACATTTACGTTGCTTTCTTCGCCTAACTGCACAGTAGCTCATTTGTCACACGTACATCGATCTCATCCCAAAAGAAAATAGGCACCATTTTCTGGAAGGTTGCTTTTTGCAAATTTTGCAAAACAATGGCTTTGTAAAATTGCCCATTTCAGGTCTTGACTAGTTTCATGACAAAACTTTTGACAGTGGCACCCTTGCACAGGAAACGATTACATAATCTTGAAGTTTCGGTTTATCTATTTCATTATAGATGCAATGTGTCATAGGTTGAATATTTGTGAGGCATATAAAGTTACTGACTGGCAAAATAAAATGAAAAGGGTAACTATGGGCAGACATTTAAAACAAAAATCTCTACAAACAAATGTTGCCCTCTTCCTGTCAATTACATGTGATATTTTCCTTTCATTTTGGGGGTGGAAGTTTACTGCAACATGTTTGAAGGGGAGTGGCGGTACAATGGTCAATTTTTTAACAGCTTCATATTTTGACGGACTATTATTGACATTTTAATGTCAATAAACAGCTTATCAGCTTTCATCCTAATATTAACAAGCTTTTTTATTAGGCCAAAATGTTTAATTGATATTCCATCTAACACATTGTGAAAACAATTATTTTCCATACTTGTGAACGTGACTCTTGTTAAATGGCAGCCAGGGTCGAATAAACTATAATCAGTTATGTATCTTACTGTCTCGATTATTGGTAATAGGTCACATTTGCTCTACGGGCTAGGATACGGCGGCCGTATAATACGCCCCTGAAAGCAAGAGATACTTGCGGTGGCCTCAGGGTCACCCTAGGACATATCCCTATCTTTACAGGCCGTATGGGTCGATGTGGGATTAAAACGCGGAGTTATAACTATTTTCATTTCTAGGATCGCCGTAGCAATTAGACACGCCGTAGGCCCGTAGCCATGCCGTAGAGCGCTTCCACGGCGACCGTACGTCGGGCGTACGGTAGCCTTGCGTTTTACATACTCCAGGGGTGAAGCGGTAGCATCAGTCTGGCCGCACGGTCGCCTTGCGTCTGCCTTAGTATTTGTCAAAAAGCTACGGCCGCCGCAGGGACGTCCCAAGGCGACCGTGCGTTAACACTTCAAAGGCCGTACTGGCAGTCGCAGATTTTCTGTCTCCACAAATTCAGTACACGCCGTGCGGCTACCCTAACATATGTCACCGCTACCGTATGTGACCGTGGGAATGCTGCTGCGGTCTATTAATTGTTATTGGCCGTATATATTTTAGACCGCACGGCCGCCACGGGAAATGTGACCAAGGCGTTAGTAACCAAGAGTTGTTGTGTGATGAGACGATTTGTTTTTCTCCTTGTAGACATGAAGGAGGAGCGGAACAAGTTGACCAGGGAGGTTTTTCCAGAGCTCAGTCGCTACTGCCATGAAAAGAGGCTAGAGTTTGAAGTGGTCGATATGAGGTGGGGTGTAAGAGACAGTGCTACGGCTGTTCATCTGACGTCATTCTTGTGCCTCAATGAAATTGATAGATGTAAACGGATGTCTCAGGGACCATATTTCGTGGTAAGAGTTGGAAACAGATAAGAAAGTTTAATACTAACATGTGTGTCAAAAATATGCATATTTCATTTGGGTTTCGGCCGAGGTAAAATCCTTGGCCAACTCTGCGCGGCATCGTTTGTATCTTCGGATACCAACGTCCTTAGCAACGTAGAGAACGTTGAATGATGGTGTCGCTCGAGTGTTATGTAGCCTGTACAGTTGGTTGAGCGAGTACTTGATCCTGGGTAACGAACGGTTGTTCTATTCACGTCACAGTCATGCAAGCACGTAAATACTCGCTCTTGTGTTAAGTGACCTTGTCACAGGTGAAAGTGGAACCAGAAAATGGTCGTAATTACGCATCAGAGTTTGTGTTTGATATATGACTGCACGTAGGTATAGACATATACAGAGCGTGTGTAGAAAAACAATAAATTGACGAATATCAATGACTTAATTGTTCAAATAATTCACACAACCATGATTACTACCACCAAAGGTATTCACATTGCAAAGTCATGTGAAATCAAGACTCACGAAATCATGCTAACTACGGTGAAAATCAGAGCTCAACTTTGTCTGGCGGCCGAACAACATCCTCACATTGTTCTTATGAATGTAATCTACTTTATTTGTAGGGTTTCCTAGGCGATAAGTATGGTTTCCGGCCACTCAACGCCACCATTTCCTCAGACATTTTCGCAAAGCTCATGGATACCGTCTCGAAAGATGAAAGCACGAGCAAGGAGGATGTAGATCTCATCAGGAAATGGTATGTGGAGGACACCAATGCCATCCCGCCAGTCTACGTTCTCCAGCCAATCACTGTTCACCTTCCTAACTACTGCGACTCCAGTGATGTCCAGAAGCAGAATGCGGCAAGGCAGATGTGGTGGGAGGTCTTTGAACGGATGAGGAAAGTGTTTGATTCAGCTGCCAAATTGGCAAGACAGGAGGGTGTCTTTAGTGCAGATGAAATGCATGAACTTATAATGTCCGGTAAGTCATATTTTACTTCGGCGTAATAGTCAAATATATCCCATTATCAATTGAATAGTTTAGAGGGGGATGTACGAGGAAAACCCAAACAGTGATAGTATGTTGCTATGAATGAGATCAGAAAAAAATACCCAATACCCAGATTTGGAATCCAGTTTGGAAAAGAAACGTACATCACTGAACTCTGGGTTCAACTCCTCTAAGGTAGGTATCTTGTGAGGGTACCGTTTGAGTGCATTGTTTAGCCGTTTTGGGTCCAAGTACAGTCTTAGGCTCCCATCCTTCTTGACACTGGTTGTCAGAGAGCTGCACCATTGCGTGTAACGGGCGACTTGCAGTATTGCACCCTGCTGTTCCATTTTGTCAAGTTCACCCTTCAGCTTGTCACGGATGTGAACACTGTACTTCCTTCGCGGGTGACGGTCTATTGAAGGCACGTATAACACCATCATTGAGATAGAGAGTGGCCTCTCCTTTGAAGTTTCCCAAGGTATCAAACTGCTTCGGGTATGCTGCTTTGAGGTCATCAATTGACTGGATCGATGGGAGGTAGGCTTGTGTAGCCTGCACTGGCTGCCGCTTCACCTCATGGAGGGTTACCACCTCCAGCCTCTTGGATGAAGTGAGCCCAACAATGACTGGTCCCTTGACACTATCAACATACCACAAATGATCTGTCACGGTGATTCGCCATATGCAGAGTAGGACGAAGGACGAACGTCTTTCCATTGATCATCATACATATCTTGAAGTCTGCGTAGTGGGAGAACATTCCCACCTGCTCCGGTGTCGACATTGGCATGAAGATGGTGCTGTCCCTGAAGACGAGGACATCGGATGTCTAGCTTAGCATAAGCCTCATTCTACTCCTGCTCAACCGAATCGATGGTGATCACTACCATGTGGAAATCTGCTCCATCCATCACTATCTTCTTCTTCAGGTGCTTCGGTTTCGGCTTCGTCCTCATGTACACGGTGTCGGCCTCTGTGCCACGACTTTGAACTTCCTCTCCCTGAATGGGACTGCCGCTGTCTCTTGTCACTCTGCTAATTCTCCATCTGATAAATCGCACTCCTTGGCTTTGCTCCTGCACCGGTTCACAAAGTCATCAATAGTCTCGCCAGACTTTTGCCCGCATCTCATTAGTCTTTTGACAAGGCCTCGTGACTCTGGCTTTTTTCCACCCTAATCAGCGGCTGAGATGAATCTAGAGACCCGGTGTGAACGCGCGATCGAGTGGCGGTAGCTGCGCTACTCGCTCTGTCGTTCACTCGGGTATTCGCGATTCGTCTCTTTTTAGTCGCTCGGCGTCTATCAGACATGTGGCCTTGTTTAAAGGCTAGTATCTCATCAACTCCAACCTGTGGATCCTGAGATTTACTGAGACTCTCAACTGACCCCCAAACAGCCCCCACATTTTGTCAGGCTTCTCCTGGTCTTCTTCAGACAGACCATCCGTTTATTTTCCTCAAACCTTCATTTCCTAAGGCTAGTTTAATCTTAATTGCTTGCTTCACTGAATCTGTGACTTATCCAAAAGATAGAGTTCCATCTGTTGCTTAAAAAGCTTGAACTCCTCAGGACATTAGGGTCAATCCAATTCATTTCTGGATAACGTAACGGACCATGTTGTACAATTAACAATCTCTTCTTTCGTTGCAAACTAGTAAGGCAACATATAATAAATTAAACGCAATGCATGTAGGCTATGATGTTGCTAAATGTAACTGTTATGCCTCAGTCACACCTTTGCGTATTGGGCTTGCGTATTGCTGCGTATTGCCTGAACGCAGACATAGGCAGTCATACCCAATAAAGCGCAACGAAACGTGCTCACTGCGTACTCAATACGCAGACTAGCGCAAAGGCCTGCGTTTGCCACTCGCTAGTTTTAAAATTTTCTAAACTATCGCAAGCAAACGCAAGGTCAAATCACCTACGAGCGAATACGAGTGGCAACCAGTGAATGCGAGCAACAGCGAGTGGCTTAGCGCAAGTATACGCAACCATACACACCTCTTTTTTTGGAGCGCGTGTCACTGCCTATAGCTGCGTTCCCTGCACGATTTACCTCGACAGAGCTCGTTGTCATTCGCATGAATGCGCGTATTGTTGGGCTGTTGCTCGCCTACCACTCGCAGCAGCAAGAACTGTTGCAATTGCCGCTCGCTACGCTGCGAGTCTAGCTCGTACGCCGTTCGCTTTAGCTCTCTCTCTCACTGCGATTAGTTGCCTAGCACCAACCACCGTCGCTGCGCTTCATAACCTTAATAAATAAACATCATTCGCCTCTGCTTCTTCCAGCTGAACCAAAAGCTTAAGCTTTTGCAAGGCAGAGCTCTGCTGCTGGGCCATTTTTTTTTTCATTAGATTGATTTTTCTTGTAGATGTATACTCGTCAGAAGCCCGCAAAATGACTTTTATTTACACGCCGTCGCAGCCCAAACGAGCTGGTACGCTGTAAAGCGAGCTGGCACGCAGCAGTACGAACAACAGACGAGCTAAATCGAGCGAACATGCAGTGAGACGCAACGAGACGGTACTGATGCGAGCGGCCAGCGAGCAGCAAACGAGCAAAGAACCAGTTACATACGCACCGTGGCGAGCAAACTGCGTATTGAATCGTACTGCTATGAGCAGCAGCGAGCTATAGCGTGGTCATAGGCAACCGTAGACAGTCTTAGTACGAGCGGCATACGAGCTACCTACGAGCTAGATACGCAATAGTGTGACTGCTATCTTCAAATTTGCCGCGTATTGCTGGGAACGGCTGCGTATTGAATGATATACCTCGTACAGCGCAGCAATACACAGCATCATACGCAAAGGTGTGACTGAGGCATTAGTGTTACATAAATGACAAAAATATTATTTGTCCAAATTAAACTGAGTCCCAGATGGTCTAGCCCAATCCCCCTCCCCCCCCCCCCACTCCGAGAACGGACGGACCCCATGCGTGTTACCAAAATGTCCGGTAAAGGGGTACTTTTCGTGCGACAAAGTCCGGCCCGAGAATTGTAAAAAAAAAGGGGTGTATTAACTTTTCACCCGGACATTTCTTTAAAAAGGGGGTTTTTCTCCTTTTTTTTCTTCTCATCTCTTTGGACTCCTGAGAAATTATTCCGAATTTAGGGGGGTACATTGAGCATTTTTCATGATTTAGGGGGGTCTCTAAGGCAGGAAAAGCCCGCGGAAATGTTGGCAGTCCTCAGATAGGGGGTGCTTTCAAAAAGAGGTAACAAGCATAATATGCGTACCCTAAATAACACTGAGGGGGGGGGGGGGGGGGGGGCCCAATCTCTGATTTAGCACACGCCTCTTTACAATTTGTAACCAATCAAGAGCCTTTCCTAACTAGGCCTAGTCTTGTTTGTGGCAGTCAGTCCATCCAGTTTTATAAGCATCGGTTTCATCTACTAAAGTACTACTACTACTACTACTAGTCTGTACTCAGTTCCAGTCTATTCGCAGGTCTAGATCCTGGACTACGTTACCTCTACTATGCTGTCACAGTCATACACTCACTGGGCTAACGCTGACTGCACAGCTGCCTGGCCCACTGTAGTAGCAGTAGCGACGTACGTCAGCTCTGCACCATCCGGTCAAGTCGCAGGTCCCAAAACAGTCCTCTGTTATAGACTCCAACCAGGGCTAGCTAGATCTAGGCTTGGTCCTAAACTAATCTAGCTAGACTTGTGTCATACGTTTCAAAACTCAATGTCCAGCGTTGTATTTTAAAAACCGTCCATGTTGTGTAACTGACTGTAATTGTAGGTCTAATGTAGATCTCTATGCCCGAGAGCGTCTAAATAACTAACACATTAACCTGACCTAGTTCCCAGCGTAGTGATCGATAACTGTAATGTGGGCCCGAGAAACTCACACATCACACAGATAACGACATGACATATCATAATTTTCCATAAATGCAGCAGCAAAGCGTTCATAAACATGCACTATTGAGTCCATGTCAAGCCGCGTAACGGAGGCTCAAATCATCATACCATTCGATACCTGGTCCAGGCGCCAGAGGTCCTGCTATGCACAGTCCATGATCCAGAACAGTAACGTTGTATAGCTCATCGTCGATCCGCGCAGACGATCAAGCGCGTAGCCAGGACTTCATTTTAGGGGGGGGCGGTAGTGAGCACGCGAAGCGTGCGAATCACTTACAGAGCGCGCGTAGCGCGCTCCCTAGGGGGGAGGATCAAAGACGTTTAAATATAATTACTAGACGGAAAGCAGCACGCGCGGAAACCATGCAGACGAATGGGATTAGGCTCCGCCTCTTTTGGATCATTTGAAGACAAATAAGCTACCGAGGCGGCTTTTTGATTGGATATGAGCCTCATGAATATGTATTTTATCGATAGTATCGTTTAAGAAACCGGATAATATATTTGACCTCATTGCGTCACTTTAATTATGCAGATTTATGCACGACGCTACTACACTCGCACAAACTGAGAAGAGTTAGTTCATTGAGAATGGGTGAGTAATTGATTGAAATATGAGTAGATTAAGTGAATTTAGTCATCAATTTTGAAAAAGCTGCAATAGTCTTCGTGATGTACGGTAATTTCGTTACATTTGGAGACAGTTCTCAACAGATTTTTGGGGAAAAGACTAGTAAACTATTGCTCTTGAAATTGCACTTTGATTTTCATCGTCATGAAGTAGTTTGACTGCGGCTTGCTGTCATTTCACCCTAGTACTCCAGTTAGGGCCCCGAGGGTTCCGGCAGGCCCATCCCGGGGAATTTCGGTGCTCATTTGCATCAAGATCAAACTTTCTAATCAAGTTTTATTTGAGATTTGATCGTCATCATGAATCTATAATTCACCAATCACCGATTTAATTTAAATCTAGATTTAACGTTATACCTTAAAGTAATCTACGAAGCATGATTTTTTTGATAATCCAAGTGGATTAATTCTTGTTAAAATCTTTAGTAGGGTCTAGGCCTAGCCCTAGATCTAACAGTTAGGTCTAACAAAGTTAGATGTGGACTTGTGGCTTTACTTATCAATATCGGTGCCATCCGTTCGCTCAGTTGCATACGCGGTGCGTGTCAACTTTATTTAGACCAAAATTATCTGTGACCATTGATAATCAAACAACTCCAAATCCTATTCATTTAGATGTAGCCTAAACCTGAAACTATAAAATATAGATCTAGACCTAGAATCTAGATCTAGACCTATTTAAAAAACATCAACACTAGGATTTGTTTATTTAATATTTAGATTTTGTGTGGGTCCAGCGTGCTTGTCAAGTTGTCTAGAGCCTAGATCTAGACCCTAGCTATCAGTGGCGTACGCAGGATTTTTTCAAGGGGGGGGGGGGGGGTTAACATTTTGAAATCGGGCCAAAAACTTTGCAACAACTCAGCCAGCCGCTGAATAAGCGGGGGGTGGGGGGGGGGGAGTCATCTTATTTAGGTCATCCATTAGGATTTTTTTTTTTTGTTATTTAAAAAAAAAAAATCAACACTAAAAAAGGGGGGGGGGGTTCCAGAAAAAACATACATATAAAAAAAGCTCAAGGGGGGGGGGGGGGGTTAACCCCAACCCCCCCCCCCCTGCATACGCGCCTGACCCCTATTAATTCTTTTAATATATTAGAGATTTTTTTTCTTCTCCAAATTGTGCAGTTCATGTTGATAAATCTATTTGTGTAAGAGAAGACCCCTACTAGTCCACAATTATGTTTACTTATGTAGTCCAATTCTTCTTGTCTTAATAAACCAATTTTACTTAAGACTACTTTATATGTATAGGCCATATAAAGCACTTTTTGAAGCACAAGTTTAATCTTCCATTTAATTTTAATTTGTACTGTGGTCCATTAAATTGGAATGTTGATTTCCACACCATATTAAAATTAAGGCCAACCATGACATGAAAAATAGTTAATATGCTAGATCTATTTTATTTTGTTATGGAGAAAGGGACGCCTTGATTGTCATATCGATTTTTTTTTAATTTTTGTTCCAACAGAATGAAACTGATGAAGATCTGGAAGGAGTTAACTGATGAGTGGACATTAAAACATTTCTTATATTTGCAAGATGAAGCAGAAAGTCCCATGCAGGTAAAATGTTCAGGCTATTTAGCACACAAATATTAAATGACCACCTATTAATTCACTAAAAAGGAAATGGAACTAAGTTTTTGTTGACAGCGTATATTGTGGAGGTATATTTTATTCTGGTTCTGCACTTAGCACACAAATATTGATATCTTTCCTTTCTTTGTTTACAAAGGAAATTTGTCCTTATTTACAAGAGGTCCTGTGTGTAAAAGAACCATATCTAATGCACATTCAAAGCACTACATGATCATACATGTAGGGTATACACAGAACCCCTCATCACTTTTTTTGTAAGTGGTCCTTTCACTTCTTGAGCAATTAAGATGACGAAGAACACAAAATAAAATTAAAGAAAGCCTGTTAATAGGATGTATTATGGTTGATGTATATCCATTATTATCGCTTTTAAATTGAAGTACCTACATTGTTTTCTCTCATGTAGGATGATGCTTCTCTACAGTGGACGATGAAGGCATGCTGGTTTACAAACTCAGGAGAGGAACAAAGAACAGATATTGACGGATCATATCTAGAAATGCGGGCCTACTACACTTCATACAAGCAAGTGTGCTAATATACATGTAGGTACCCCAAATAAACTATTTTGGAACACATATCATGCAGAAAGTTATAGATCTGACAAAATATTTTTTCATTGTCCGTTGACTTGTAAAAGAATACTTGACTGAATATCACAATTGTGATTTAGATTAAAAATAAAATGTCAATATAGATGAAATAAAAGTCTACATAATGTATGTTGCAGTTGCATTATTTCCAGTACATTCTCTGTTCCAAGTTGTTTGGTCATTTTATGTCCCATACTTAACTGAGTATTATTCAATTATGAGCACAAGTTTACATTACAAGTACATTGTACATGTATTACTTATTTCATACCTTGTCTGATCCAAGCTCTAGCAGGCCTATCGTCTTAATGGAATCATCAGAAATAATCTAACATGAGCAGTAACTAGTCTTGTAGGAAAAATAGTTTAGGTTTGCCCACTAGAACTCCAAGTGAATTTTAGTCCTTCCTCTTTTTTGTCAGGGCAGGTATCAGGGTGTATGTTATTATTTATTAATCGTTGTTGATTTTCTTATACACTGTATCTTATTTTATTTTTCCATTCAACAGACTTGGGTTATCATTACAGCCCTTTCTTCTGAAAACTAGGCTACAACTTTATTGATGAATGCAGAAGACATCTACATGGGACTACCTCTTAAAGATGCCACCCTTATATAATGAAAGAGGACAGTAGATTTAAACTTGGGTTTAAACTTGAACATTTACATACTATTTATTTGTTACTTGTATTATATGTTTGTAGAATACCACATACAAAACTAATGAATTTATCACCTTGTCAACATTCAAATAATTAAAGATAAACTAATCATCAGTGAATAAACATTAACATTTTAACAATGTCAACTACCATCTTATAGGATGAAACTGAGGACTGGGCAGAAAGAAATTCCTTGAAAATTGAGTGATAAAGATCAGTCTAAATCAAAGATTGAATTAGTCAATGATATTTTAATTGTAATTATACATGTTTAAATTCATTTACCTCTATGGACTTCTGTATTAGAAGTTTTTTAGATTATTATATTATTGCTGCTTCAAGTATTGTATGTAAGAAGGTTTGAAAGACAACCCTCTAAATGCACTAAATATGAAAACTGCTAATCATCCATGCCTTTCGTATCCAAACTGCTAATTTTAATAGAATCATGTTTTTATACTTCCTAGCTAAAGAAAACATGGGGGGGGGGGGCTTGCTATCATCTTGTTGTTTCTACATGGACCATGAAACAGGTTGCAAAAGTGTAAACATATTATGTTGTTATATGTTTATATTAGAAGGATTTAGAAAATGAAAAGTTTTGAATTATAGAATTACTGTTGCTAGAAGTAATGGCAGTATTGATTTTAAGGGAAGGGGGTAGTTTTTCCCAGAGAAATTAACGGTATACCAATGTAAAATTAATACAAAAGAGAAAACTGTTCTTAAAAATAAAATTAGAAAGGACATGGGCCTCCTAACTAAAACCCTGGAAACACTTCTGGGTCTTTTTTTTTTCTTCAAATTCGAAATTTCCAGTGTTAAATTCCATTGTCTTACAAAAAATTATGTCAAGATGTTGAAATCAAACAATGTTTCACTTTCCAAGTTAACAAAATTGAATAAAATAATTAACATACTTTCCGGTCTCTCTGGTCTCTAAATTAAAAATGTTCAAAGCTCCTGCAAAGGTTGCAAAAAGGAAAAGTGAAGAGAATCCAATTGAAATGTGGACAGTAATGGAGTGAATATGGAATGGTTGATCATAGTTGATAACGAGTGCATGTAAATGAGTGGTAATAACAAGTACGACTAAAAGTGAGACGGAAAAGAACTGCAACAGGTTATTTAGTCAAGACAACAAACCTTCAGTTGCAGAAGATAATTTACGAAAGATAGAGAAAGAGAGAGAAAGGGAATCATTAAGGTACTACGATGAGAGTGGGTGGGGAAAAAACATCCACTGTGCCACATAATTTGTTTGTCTAAAATAAGGAAACTTTATACATCAGCATATTAAAAATGTAAAATCATAGCCAGAGAATGTGTTGTTATATGGCTTATAGCATCAGGGGCGTACGCAGGGGGGGGGGGGGGGGGGTGTGTTATGGGGGTTCAAACACCCCCCTTGGTATTTTAATGTATGTAAACCCCCCTAAAAAAACCTAAAAACCCCCCCCCCCCCTTTGTTTTTTTTTTTGTTTTTTTTTTTTATTAAAAAAAATATTAAAAAAAAAAAAAAAAAAATTATACCCACGGCTAACCTAAATAAGGTGACCTTACCCCCCCCCATACGTAAAAAAATGTCAAATTTTGAAATTTTGAGACCAAAAAAAAAAAAAAAAGTGTCCGCTTACCCCCCCCCCCCCCCCCCCCCCCCCCCCCCCCCCCCCCCCCCCCCCCCCCCCCCCCCCCCCCCCACAACGGGGCGACTTTTCTGCCCGCTGAGTCGTTGTGATTTTTTTTGGCCTCCAAAAAAAAAAAAAAAAAAAGTGTCCGCTTACCCCCCCCCCCCCCCCCCCCCCCCCCCCCCCCCCCCCCACTGAGCGACTTTTCGGTCGGCGCGATTTTCAAATTTTCGGGAGCAAAATATTTTAAAACCCCCCCCTTGAAAAAATCCTGCGTACGCCCCTGTATAGCATGTTTGATTTAATAAACAAAAACAGACCCAGTTATTGATAGACTAAAAAGGGAATAGATCGACACAGTATTTCTTATTCAATGAAGTTAAGGCCACTCCCCCATATCGCGATGCATCCTGGGTATGAGGGGTGGAGCTTAGCAAGCCTGAGATCTGTGAAACTGGATGGTTATTATTATTTTTTGGACAATAAAGAGATTTTCAGAAAAATTTATGCTGGAATAATAATAAGTAGAGGTGTAATGATGTTTTCAAAGGCTACTTAGTTGGCGTAAATATTCAGAAATGAATTATACACGCCATTAAAACCTTAAAAAAAAATAAAAAAAACACAACAACGAGTGGAACTTTAAGGTCCACTTCCCGATGCATCCTGGGTACATCAGCTGTTATACTGGTGATCGATAATACAAGTTCGAGCGCGTATTTCACCTAACGGTGATCGCATCAGAATATTCCACGCTGATTCGCTGAATCACTTGCGTTGCTAGCGCGCAGCGTGATGAATAAATTACCCATAATTCCGTACAGTAGATTATTTGACCTCTCTTATTACGCTGATACGCGCATTGTCTTTTACCATGTAGTGAACATCATTCCAGTACACTTTTCGCGGGGAGCATCCTACAGAATGCATAATTCATAAGGCTCATGAATTATGCAAGGTAGCTTATTTTGGCTTCTAATGGATCCGGACAAAATGGCGGAGCTTGGGGGGCCTGGGGAGGATGCAGGGAGGGGGGAGTTTCCCCCTCCCGCGCGAAGCGCGAAAGGTTTGAGGTTTCATCAAATTATAAGAGAAAGAAGACGATTCGTTGGACCGTTCTCGACTCTTAATCCTAGTAAATTCAGTTTCTGTTGACGTTTAATTAGGGAAAGAAGACGATTCGCTGTACCGTCCTTGACTCTTAATCTTTGTTTGAATCAAGTTCCCCTGCCTCCGCGCGTAGCGCGGAAGCTCTGAAGTTTTATTAGATTATTAAAGAAAGAAGACGATTCGTTGTACCATTCTCGACTCTTAGTCCTTCAGTTTCTTTTGACGTTTCATTAGAGAAAGAAGACGATTCGCTGTACCGTCCTCGACTCTTAATCCTTTTTTTTGTATCAAGTTCCCCTTCCTCCGCGGAAGCTCTGAAGTTTTATTAGATTATTAAAGAAAGAAGAAGATTCGTTGTACCATTCGCGATCGACTCTTAATCCTTGTCTGAATTCAGTACCCCCCTCCCCTCCCGCGGCCAGCTTTGACGTTTCATAAATTATTAGACAAAGAAGACGATTTGTTGTACCGTTCTGGACTCTTAATCCTTATCTGAATTCAGTTCCTCCCCCCCCCCTCCCCTCTCGCGCGAAGCGCGGAAGCTTAGAGTTTCATTAAATTATTAGACAAAGAAGACGATTCGATCGTTGTACCGTTCTCGACTATAAATCCTTTTTCTTCCTACGTCCTCTTCCTTTCTTCTTTTTTTCTCTCTTTTTTTTTTTAGGCCGGCGTTTTATTTTTTTTGGGGGGGGGGGCGACCGCCCCCACCGCCCCCCTGACTACGCGCCTGCAGATGATCCAATCAATATTTCGGCACCCGGCCGCAAATCCATTCAGAAGAAATATAAAACGTCTCAAAATCACATCTCCCGGACGTCTGGTCCGAGTAAACCAACAACCGTTGCCACCATGTTGTGTTATGGGGCATGGCCTAGGCTAATAAGCAAATAACTATCGTTGGTGAAGGTGATTGGAGAAACTAGTATCAGTACACTTCCGAGGCGATCTGGATGTAGCCATCCTTCCGAAGCGAAGCTGAGGAAAGTTAGCGTATACATTCAGATCGCCGAGGAAGTGATAATTTGCCATCACCTGAAACCAAAAGGTGATTAGATCTAGACCTATTTGCTTTATATTCCACATCGGAAACATTTCACAGGTAGGGTCTTATTAAATGTTTAGGCCTTGTTCTAGACTTCTAAGTTCTACTGCTAGTAGTAGACTAGGCCTACTAAAAAGATAGCAAGCATGATGGAGTGGGGGGGGGGGGGGGGGAGGGTGATCTACTTACCAACAATGCTTTTCCAAACAGGCTAACTCCATGAAAATTCCATAGGGCCTACTAAAGTACTAGCACTTAGCACAGCAGGTCTAAAATGAAACTGGACTCCAACTCCGAGTAAAAACTTGTCCAAGTCAGAAAACCACAAAAGTCCAACTGAAACTTTGTCAACTCCAAGAAAACTGTAATTAATGATGATGAAACACTAAAGGAATCGGTGTAAAAGTCGACGTTCTAAACGCGCAAAAGAGTCCAACGTCAGTCAAATATGTACACGAACAAAGGACTAGATTCAAGATCTAGCCTAGTCTAGTTGTAAATGTTTACAGTGTGTTTTGTTGAACTGGAATGTTAAGTTCCGGTTCTGATTTTGAATTTGCACATTTTTGTTTTTAACAGGATTAGAAACAATCGTTGACTTTTCCGTTTCAGCTAGCAAACGATCCATTTGACTGTTGGAAATATCCAAGAAATCATCAATATCATCATCATGTGTTGGCCTGTTGGGGTTTGAGTAGGACTAGTCTTAGGCCTACTTTGCCGGTCTGGCTGTCCGTGATCAGCCGCTCCTTCCTGAACTTGAAGACCAAGGGCTGAAGATATTGTGTCACTCATATTGATTTTTTGTTGGTCGCTCGTTTGGGCATAATGTTTGATGCTGGTTTCAGATGTATGTCCTGAAACAGTCATTGTGTCCCTTGAAGGAAATCCGGCACGATCAAGTGTGGTGATCGACATTGCTTACTAATACTCGTTTATTTAGTCAAGCACCCTGCTTCATTGCTGATGTCTTCATAACAGTTCCAAGAGTGTGAATTCCAATTCGAGCATGCATTGTCCTACCATTTGCCATCCTTTCGTGCAGATTCTCTCGGGTTTTGCCACGGATATGGCAGTTTCAGATTTAGTTTAGATTTGTATATATTTCAGAAGTGTTGCAACAGGGCACCTATTACTCCCAGGAATTTCGAACATACACAGTGGCGAATCCAGGGAGGGGGGGGGGGGGGAAGGCACAGGGGGCACGTCCCCCCCCCCGGCCAAAAAATTGTGTTAAAATCAGCCCTAAATTCGCCCAAAATGTACTGAAATACAGGGACGTGCCCCCCCCCCCCCGGCCCAAAATATAATTTATTTGTTTTTATTTTATTTAAAAAAAAAAAAGCCAATGGCTGACCTAAAAAGGTGACCTTACCCCCCCCCCCCCCAACGGAGCAAAATGTCAAATTAAAAATTTCGTGACCAAAAAAAGAAAAGAAAAGTGTCCTCTTATGTCGATGAAAACTTTACGTTGAAGCCCACATGGAGAGTCCTGGTCTAGACTGTCTTGAATCTTGTTCATGTCGGTTTCACTGACAGGAATATGATGTTTTACGCCGGCTTTCCCTCCTCCAATAGATTACACTCGACCAGACTTCGCAAAGTTGGTTTTCAACTTAATGATGTCTATGTCTCGCAAATTCAAAAAATGTCGCTGCAGACCATACCTCAAAGCCTGTAGAGATTTCTTACTGTATGACTCTCCATTTCGCGAATTCACACCAGCATAACATCTCCCCAACAGTTGGTCTAGTGCTTTCAAGTCCAGGTCGGACAGTTCGTCAACATTTATGTTTCTTGCAGCATCACAATAATCCTGGAATACTTTCAGGCTGGATTTAAGTTGTCGCTTTGTATTATTGCTTTTGCTGTCCACAAGAAAACTGTCTTATTGAGCCTCACTTAGGAGCTCAAATCTTACTTGTTCCGCCATTTTAGAGCAACAATTATTAACACTAACACTGTAGATCTAGGCCTTAACAACAGTAACGAACAGCTAGCAAACGAAATGTAGGCCTGCGCCTAGCTCTAGTCTATAGACTATAATTTATAAAATCAAATTTGTAATTCGCGCCTCATCACCGCGGTGGCCGCGCCGTGATCGCCTGCTGCGTTGAACTTCAGTAGAAGTGCGTTGCCCTGTGTAGATAGAACTTTTATCTTCAATGAAAGTGCGTTGCCCTGTGTACATAGGAGCCTATCTACACAGTGTAACGAACTTTTTGCTTCTCCCAGCAATGATGGGCGAACTATCTTTCATCACGTGATTTACTTTTGACCAGTCGTAGAGCAAGATTCTTTGTATGTGGAATATATTTCCGTTTACAATACGTGGTTAAACCATTTGGTTAAACCATCATAATACAACAGAGGACACTCGGCACTGAAGAAATCTTTTGCCGGACCTTGAGGGAAGAGAAATTTACGGGGTAATTTACAAGAGAAATGGAAAAATATCTTTTAGAGTAGAAGATATAAAGACTTGTCCCAAATAAGATCAGACAAATTCATTCACTATTTTGCCAATGTTGGAGTCACATGGAAGTCCGGGATGGAAGGACAGGACATGTTATGGTGTGAATGAAACAATTTCCCTGTATGATTTTTACAGTAACTGAAGATGAGATTCGTCATGGTTTGAAGGACAACACCAACATTGGTGATACCTGTATCTTCTTCACAAGGGACTTCAAGGGTATGGAGCCGGCTTTTAAGCAGAAAGCAACTTTGTCCATGTTCACTGACATTCAGACTGATGAGTAAGTACTTTTCCTTGTAAGGCTATTATTCACATATGAGGTTAAATATTATTTAACCAATGGTCAATTATGTCTATATCTCTACTTTGGACCCCCCCCCCCAAAAAAAAAGAAAAGAATATATATGTATTAATGCCATCCAGTTGGACATGAGGATACAAAGAGGATACATGAGTTAGAGATATTAGCTTGATTTTTAGTAATGTTTGAAAATTCTTTCTCACAGAATTCAACAAAACTTACACTGAATGTTAAATGGGAGGGAGCAACGACAGTCCTCTACTTCATCGGTATTATTTCATTGTATATTGATGACGGGGTACCTGACTCCCGGGCTACTCAAGGAAAGTGCATTTAAATCTTTAATTCCTATTATTACGCATTTCACATTCATGATTTTCCTTTTCTCTTTGATTCTGACATTTGTTCATGTCATAAATGTAGTGGACCATAAGACTAAACAGGCTGAAGACACTGAACTTTTTTTCTTTTTTCGGGGGGGGGGGGGGGGGGAGGGGGAGAGCAATTTGAATAGAGTGAGTTTGCCCCCCTGTAAAAGTCAGAAGACATTCCTCTTACATGTTATGGTATACTTCCCCTTTCACTCTGCAGTGACAATGAAACCCTTGAGTTTGTGGATCATTCCAAGACCTTGCTCACAAGACTGAAGAAGGAATACATCCCCAGTGTGGTCCCAGCAGAAGCACTCAATAGCTTCACTCTACCTTGGTGTGAAAAGGGCATTGACCCCATCGGTTGCCCGGAGCATGCAGAGTACCTGGGACAGATGTGTGAGATCTTTGAAAGTAGGATGAAGGCTATGATAGATACGAAGCTGGAAGATCAACGGTCAAAGTTTGTAGATCCAGTGAAAAGTGAATTACAGAGAGAGCTTCTTCATCATGCATCCTTTTGTAAAACAAAATGCAGGTTTGTGATTTGACAATATATTTGCAAACAAATAGAAGTTTGTAATGTACTTACATATATATTAGGCAGAGGTAAGGTAGAAATAAAAGTATTTGTGATGCAATCTTCTGTATGCAAGATATGGCAATGCAAAATTGAGTAAAGGTAGTTTTTTAACATTTTCATGTCGTGAAAATGGTTAAGATGTTTATATAGTGTATTTGGCTTTACAGTGGAAAGAAATACATCCCCAAAAGTTGTGTTCAAAATGGGCAATTTGGTGAGAGAAAACTTGATGTACATTATTTTTTTTAAGAATGATAGGATTTTAGCAAAGATTCTAGCAACCGGGCTTAGAAAAGTTCTCCCTTTCATTATTCACGAGGATCAGACTGGATTGTTAAAACGTAGATAATAATGTAGGTGCAAATATTCGTTTTGTTTATAAACTCAATTGATTTGGGCCAAAAATACTCAATAGGAGTTATAGTTTTTTCGATTGATTCTGAACAAAACCCGTTGATTCGATAGAATGGCATTTTTCAAATATAGTATAATTCAGGTGTTATTGTGTTATTTGGTATTTGTGAAAGAAATGGGAGGATGGGTTGAATTTAAATCCAGAGAATTAACTTCAAAGGGAAGAACGTTTTGTTACAGCGTTCAAGACCGCTTTAGATACACAAATTCGAACATTTTAATTTAAATTCGTTCACCGGAGAATTGCTACCAACGAATTTCTCTTTCGTATTGGCGTAAAGACCTCACCAAAATGTATTTTTTTGCTAGAAAGATAACAAAAATTTAATGCAAATGTTTTTCTCCTGCCTAATTGTAAATAGATTTTGGACCGATGTTTACAAGTGGTTATATAAGCTAAAAGCAATTATTTTACCTCTTTCTAAAGTAGATATCTGTTTTGGCGTAAAACCTGGAAACATTTTGATAAATACAGTTATATTTTATGGTAAATACTTTAATCATAACGAAACAATGTTTTGATAAAATGTTGGTTTTCAGTCAGTGTCAGACAGATATACTACCTTGAACAAAATTGAAAGAATTATTGCTTTACGTAAAGAGAAACTTCATGTTCATCTTAAAAAATGGAAGCCCATAGTGTACTTTAAAGGACATTACTTATTTAAATTAGCCTTCATCCATTTTCGTTAACATTAATGATTCTGACTTATATACTATATGCAAGTTATTAATTTGTAAAATGCATGATGAAATGAAGAAGCAATACAAGTAATTAAAAAAAAAAGAAAAAAAAAAAGGATATGACCTCTGTTCAACAAATGGTATTAACATTACAGATACATGAACACTCATTACTACAGTAATACATATGGTCATATTTATAGATCACATAAAATCTTTTAATTTCCCTTACCCCATTCACTCTTTACATGTCATTTGATACAGTGCCTTCCAAGGTAGAGAAGTTATATTAGCATCCATCAGGTCTTACCTATCTTCAAACCTGTCCAAGCCCCTGGTCGTCCATGGTATATCAGGATTCGGCAAGACGTCTGTCATGGCCATGGTTGCAAGGCACTCAAGAGAGTGGATAGAAGGATGTATCACTGTCCTAAGATTCCTTGGGACATCAGGCAACAGTTCAACCATCCATGCCACATTGAAAAGCATGTGTAAACAGGTACGGACAGGTCTTGTATTGCTTCCTGGATTCCTGGATTGTGTTAGAGCCAGGCGCGGATCCAGGATTTCTAAGGGGGGGGGGGCCATTTTTTTTTTTTTGCTCCCGAAAATTTGAAAATTTGCACCCCCCCCTTGAGCGCCAGGGGGGGGGGGGGGACCCATCCCCCAAAAAGCTAAAAATCACGTGTTTTGACACGTTTTTTTTTCTAGGCGCCCCCCCCCCCCCTGGATCCGCCACTGGTTATAGCCACTATCAAGATGCGAATTTCAAATCTCTGGAAAATACTGTCGTAACTATTTGAATTTATTAACAATAAGTTTCACATGTTGGTGATTTAGCATGTTATGATTTGTATACATTTATCGTGTGTATGGGTTGTGTGATATAAGACAAGCTACTCGAGTTTTACTTTCATTACCCCGGCATTAGTCGAGAGGCCCTGTTGAGGCGCTCTGGCATTCGAGGAATTTCCCATTGATTCACCTGGGTGGAGAGTGGCAGAGGAAATGATTTTCTTGCCAAAGGACATTTCATTCGAAACAACTGTGTATGGAAAAATTATTAGAATATTTCAGGTACAGAAAGATTGTGTTTTTATGTATATCATGCTTATAAGAAGAAGATCTGAGTTTTTATTTGGTTTCATGAAAAAAAATCTTTATTTGTTTATAATTAAGTATTGAACAAAATTGTCATGCATCTTATACAGTTTTAGGGTTAAATCATGATTACAATGGCAAATGTAATCAGTCAGAGAAAGTAGTTATTAGTAAAGATTGTGTCCCCTCACAGTCACCTTCTTATGCTCATACTTGTTGTTTCCAACAGATTTGCTTTGCTTACGGTGCCCCGCAACCCTCATCCGATCATTCAGAAGACTTTTCAGAACTGGTGCAGCTTTTCAATAACTTGATCGAAACACTTCCAAGCAAAGATAAACCTCTATTGCTGCTTTTCGACGGTATTGACCAGCTCAGTTCAAACAACAATGCCCACAAGATGAACTGGCTTTTAAAGTCTTTACCAAAAAATGTCCATGTTGTGGTGTCCATGCTGCCCCAGGAACACAACATTCTAGACAACATCAAGAAGACCCTGACAGACCCCAGTTGCTACATTGGCATGGAAGTTGTAGGTGAAGAGAATGGCATTGCTATCATGGCTGGCTGGTTGAAGGAAAGAAAACGAAGGCTGAATGAGGAACAAGTGAGAGTGGTGAGGGAGGCTTTCAGGAAGTGTCCTCAGCCACTCTATCTGAAGCTTCTCTTTGAGGAATTTGTAAAATGGCCATCGTACAAGACAGTAGCAGATATCAAGCTTCCTATCACTGTAGTGGATGCTATCAACAACCTGTTTCAAGAACTAGAAGAGCATCATGGGCTTATCTTTGTAGCACATGCGCTCGGTTACCTGACTGCAGGAAAGAGTGGTCTTACAGAAGCAGAGATAGAGGATGTCCTTTCTTGTGATGACAAAGTCCTCAATGACGTCTATCAGTACTGGGATCCTCCAGTAGAAGGGGCTGTTCGCATTCCACCATCAGTCTGGAAGAGGTTGTATCAAGACATTGAGGAGTTCATCACGGAAAAGCAGGCTGGTGGCAAGACGGTGATTGCTTGGTACCATAGGCAGTTCATTGAAACAGCTGAAAAGCGTTTCCATGGTGATCCAGAGACCAAAATGGCCAGACACAAAGTTCTTGCAGATATGTTCCTTGGAGAATACAGCAGAGGTAAAATCAGGCCAATTCGACTCGAGAAACGCAATAAGGATTTCCACAATGCAGACCGTCTTGTCTCACCGCAACCCCTCATGTTTGGAGAGAGTGCCTTCAATCTCAGAAAGCTGCATGAGCTTCCTTTCCATTTGATGCGATGTGAGATAATGAATGGAGTCCCTGAAGGTATGGTGCAGCATATCATGTACAACTTTGAGTGGATTCTGACCAAGTTAAGAGCCTTCAACTTTCTGGAACTTGTCAATGACTTTTCAAAATTTGATGAAGAAAGTGGCATCCTTCTTGAGGCCTTGTACTTGTCTGGAAGTAATCTGAAAGAAGACCCTTTCTGCTTAGCAGGCCAACTTCTTGGGAGGATGTATGATCTGATGGACAATTACTCCAACATTAGAAAATTGCTTGGAGAAGCCAAGGCATGGGTGAGGACTACCCATCATTCTTTGATCATTCCTAGAGGAGCATGTCTGATCCCCCCAAGAGGACAGTTGAAGACATCATTGGCCGGTCACCCATCCAGAGTAGAGGCTATTGCTTGCACTGGCAAAGGAGATGTCATTGTAACAGTCTGCAAAGACTCCAATGGCTACCCTATGGCTAATGTTTGGGATGAAGAAAATACAGAGCTCATACACACTCTACGAGTCAAAGCAGGAAGCAAAGCATCTGGGGCACTGTCCCTCGCCATCAGTCATGATGATACGTTTGTCATCTTCGGCTGTCAGGTGTTGGGAATGTTTGAACTCACCAGTGGGGAGTGCATCTGGAAACTTGAGACTGGTGAAAACCACGCTATCAGCTCCCTTCAGATCCACGAAGATGGAGCATTAGCCATTGGTGGATCAGAAAAAGGGTCAAATGTCTGTATCTGGGACCTCCATCGTGGACAGCTTCTCGCTAAGCTAGAACATCCCAAAATTGCTAACTTTGCATTCTTTGAAGGTGATGCTGAGGTGTTAACTGGTTGCCAGGATGGTTTCTTCAGGCAATGGTCCATTACATCCAAAGAATGCCTTCATTCATTCCAAGCTCACAAGGAAAATGACATGAAAGTAGTTGCCCATGCCAGGTCCATCCAAACCATTGTATCAGGTGACAGCAATGGATCCATCAGGATATCAAGGTATGCAGACAAACCAAGTGCCCAGAGCAAGGTCCTGGCAGGTCACAGGAAGGCTGTCACTTGTCTTCTAGTGTTATCTGATCATTTACTTGCATCTGGGTCAGCAGATTTTACTGTTCGTGTCTGGAACATGACAGAGGGCACAGCTGCCTTGAACTGTAAAGGTATGTCTAAAGCGTGTATTGATCAAATGATAGGATGATTGTATGAAATATGCTCAAACAACATTTGCTCCATTGATATTTCTAATACTGCATCATCAAATGTCTAATGTCTAATGTGACCTTTACAAACCATAACCTCTAACAATTAATTGCATAAGAAATGAAGCTTTTAGAAGATGAGGAATGTGAAATCACTAATATACATATAGGACAACACAAATTATGAAAGATACACACATTTACATTTTCTGTGTTTTTTAAAGAAACAATAAATGAACTTTAAATAACTCCTATTTGTCAGAGTCAAAAGCCAAAGAACACTTTGAGAAAAAAAGAGATGACACCGAATTGAAAAATACCAACACTCAGTGCCATCACCCCCATAAAATAAAATATTTGCTGAAGTTATTGATGGCATTTTTGTAATTAACAGGGCATGATGGCATGGTCACTTGCCTTTGGCATTGCCCGGCAGACCCCAACGAAAGCGATTCCAAGTCCATCCTGGTATCAGGTTCTAAAGATGACTCCCTGAAGGTTTGGGACCTGGACCCTAAGGATGGTCGGAGTCCTCTCATCACAACCCTGAAAGGACATTCTTCATGGATCTCAGATGTAACAGGAACAAAGAAGAGAGTGATTTACTCTGCGTCAAACGACAAGAGCGCCAAGATGTGGGTTTATACTATGCAAACCGTAAGTATCTTCACTGAACTTTACCAAACTAAAAGAAGTTTGTACAAACACTGAATTGAACTGTTTCTACAGAGATGTAGAGAATGGGGATGAGCAAAGAAGGTGAAGTTAGATGTTGGAGGAATAAAAATCTTATCATTATTGAGATGATGCCGCAATGAACTAGAAGCAGGTAAGTCTTGTGAAAATACATTAGGAAAAACAAAGATAATCAGGAGAGTTGATAATCCCATATTAATCTTAAGCCCTCTTCTATCATGTAGATTTAGCAAATCTTTTCTAACAGATCTGGCTTATTGTGTGATCAACTACCACTCTATTTCATTCTAGGTGATTAAGAGGGAGAGACACAACGACCATGCATTCGTTGTCAGGTTTACTCCTGATGGGTCCACAATTATCACCAGTGGACCAGAGGGATCCGTCAAGTTTTCTAGTTTCTATGACTGCCATGTGTCCCGCCGTGAAGAGGGATACATCTCCAAGCTGGTGTTCAGCAGAGACGGCAAGAAGATGATTGGTGCATTCAAAGAAGAGGGGCGGCTTCGTGTCTGGGATATGAACAAATCAATGGATGGAGGTGGAGATGTCTTTGATCTTGAAGGTCATGAGAAGGGCATCCTATGGTTGGTGGTGGGGAAAGATAGTGAGGTTGTTTCTGCTTCACAGGATAAGATGATTAAGGTGTGGAACGTGGACACCAAGACGTGCAGGCTCACTCTTACAGGTAAGACCCCATGAATGATTCTGTTGAAAACAAAACCTGTGCGAGATTATTGTTTCCCTTGAAAGGCCTCATGTCTATAAAACCTTCTACATGTCCTGTCACTTTGAATGATTTTCTCATTGAAACATGTAATAAAGAAATCCAACTGCTTAAATGTTTGAACACTGCATTTCTTGTCTCCCTTCAAGTTCTTATTTACATTTACAGGTTATAGTACATTTATTTAAAAATGTGTTAATTTTTTTTTCTGAAGAGCGCTTTCTCATTGCGTATCTTGTTTAATTACTTAACTAAAAAACACATTTTTGTAAATTCTGTCTTCGCCTGAACAGAACATGAAGCTCCCGTAGGACTAGTGAAGACACTGACACAAAAGGCAAACACCTTCATCCTATCAGCAGACAGCGAAGGAGTGCTCAAGTCTTGGAAATATGACACAGGAGAATGTCTGCTTTCTGCCAAAGAGCACAGAGCAACAATACGATGTCTCGCTATCTCCCCAAATGGTAAGTTTAGGTGTCATGGAAGCACTTCCTTTTCGATCATCACCCTTTCAAAATCATCCAAAATACCAATGAAAGCATGGAGCTTGTTCATCATTGGTGATGATCAAGATCAAGATCAGATAGTTGGGCCGGATCTAGTCAAGTGTTGTTCTTAGTTATTGTAGGGGTTGAGCATATAATTTCATAGATTCTTTTACTGCCAGAGTTCTTATGTCTTAACTGTCTTTTAAGCATATATAGTTTTGTCCTTAGATCTACATGGAATATGCTACATGTATGTTGGATTTTGCATTCCAAGATTGTATTTTTGTTGAAAAGTTTGTTACCTTTTGTTTGGGACTTTATTCAGCCTTGCTGATAGTTCCACAGGATTACCTAGAATCCATCAAAATAAGAATAAGACCATTCTTTTCCTTTTCTCCCTGTATAAGTTCTTTCATTTTTTATTCTACGTGTAGGTCAGTTTGCAGTGACAGGTGCCAACGACAAGCAGATGATCCTATGGTCACTTGCTCCAAACACTTTTGGTCAGGTGGTCAAGCGTATGCCGGTTCATACGTCAGAGGTCATCTGCTGTGCATTTACGCATGACAGCACCAGGGTCGTCGGGGGAACCCACGCCGGTGTGGAGCAGCTTCATGTCTGGGACTTCATGGCCAATAATGACCAGTGAGTAATGGAATATTCAGTATTGAAAGAAAAAAGCTTACCCACAAATTAAAAAGAACAATAACTCTTGGTATAGAGTCCATCAATTGATTGACATTCTGTAAGTAATACGTACTTGCTGCAGACAAAACTTTTATGTATCGTTTATATAAGAATTAACCTTGAACATCTTGTCAAATTATCTATTTGGGAAAGAAATGGAAATAATAACAAAGTGAACTGCTAACTATTCATAGAGAAAGAAAAAAGCCAAAGGAGACTTGGCTGAATATCAACATGCAGGCCCACGACAGTTGTCCTGTACTAGGCAATCAGACACCAATCTTTGTCAAATTCCCATTAGGAAAATATGCAACCAGGACGAGTTCCCTAGATTGCCTTTCCATCTAGTAGTGAAGTATTCGAAGGAGATACTTTTAATCTCTATTATTTATTTATTTGACAAAGAAAGTGTGTGACGAAAACAACTTTCCTTTCAGACTCCTTGTAGGTCACAACCACGCCATCATGGATATTTGTATATCATCAGATGACCAGTACTTGGTGACTGCATCCCGTGACTGCACCCTCAAGGCGTGGCATCTTCCTACCCTGCGGATGCTGGCATCCTTCGATTGCAAGTCCCAGATCAAGTATATAGACCTGGTCTACAAAAGTGAGGATCGCTATCGGCTAGCAGCAGAGAACAAATCTGGAACTATTTTGATTCTTGATTTGCTACTTGAGAAAGCGGATAGATCTGATATCAGGTTTGTTGCTTACGCTTATAAGGTTAATTTAAAGATAGCATTATTCATATCCCATACTTTGATGGAATGATAAACCATTGGCATTAAATTGTGTGTAATATTTTGGCATGTCAATTTGATACACTATTAAACCTCCTACCTTCTATCCTGCTTCTACCCTCACAGAAAGCTAAAACATAATCATAACGTAGGCCTAACCTTATATCTTTGATGAAATAAGGCCCAGAGCATATGTCACCGAAACGAATGTGGAATGACCCATCCAGGACTTGCCCATCTTATTCATAAATTTATATTGAGAAACTTCAATATAGTTCTTGTGCATCTATTAAGAATGAGATCATGTTTTCACTTCTTTTGATAGCCCTGAACCTGTCACCCAGTTCACCAAGACAAACCAATTAAGAACCTCTAAAGACCATCAAGGCAATGGATCTCACAGTACATCTTCAAAGAAGTCCAACAGTAGCTCAAAGAAGAAGAAGAGCAAAGCAGCGTACCTTTTATTCCTTTTTGTAATGTTTGTTGTACTTAGTGTGTTCGTTTATATTCTGTTAGATTTGACCTTGTTGGGTTTGTTAAGTTATATTCTGTGCTTGTAGTACATATTGTCTAATGTATATATATGGAAGGGTTCTGCCTCGAAAGGCCAATGGCCTAAGCGGTTCCCTTCCCTATTCTTGTTCTACAATAATGTATTGCTAATATATACATATTATTTATGTTCTTAATGGTACGTGGAAAATAAAATTTGAACTTGAACTTGTTTGCTCTACTGCAAACTTTTCTGAAGACCCTTCCACTAAGATGGCTTCTCAGAACCTGACGTTGTTTATCAGAATGTGTTCTTCTTGATGCTGGTAATGGTCAATGATGTCAGGAGATAAAGTGTACCATTGGCTCTCTGAGCCTTAAGAGGTAAGTCATTCATTGTCGTCCTCGTGCCCTGCATCCTTAAACGTAAGGGCGACTTTCTCCAAAGCGATCTTCCTCAAGACATGATAAAAGAAGCGGATGGCCTCTTAGTTATAGGATATTTGATGACATTTTGATCGTATTTGTTTCATTATAATAGTAATAATATTCTGGATTTATACAGCACTTAAAGGTACTATGTCCCATTTGCAGGCCCCAAAAATGAAAAGGTTAAATTCTAACGGCATTTGACAGATAATACTAATTTAGAACTTCCCTAAAAAAGGTGGGGCTTGAAAATGTCTTCAAGTGGGAAAATAACCACTATTAGTTGTCAAATCGACTAAGGAGCTATAGAGCCAATAAGTAATATTCTTGATTTTCAGACCATTGTACCGAATGGTCACACGTTTTATGCTGCGCAAGGTTCAATCAGTTTAATTTTGGCCATCACAAGAAGTGGATTATTGATGTAGACAAATGCTAATGTACCCTTTACAGCTCATTTTATGTATGTTATTACCGAAGAAGAAAAAAGCCAGTCAGTCACTCAATAGTGTCTGACAGTGGAGTCTAGCAAGTAAACGGGTTTCCTTGCATATTTTGAATATTAGGACACTGCTAACGTTTAAATTTCACAGATAGGGCATACATGACATATTCATAATTCCTGCAAAGTTCTACAGAATTTGAGGTTGGCTGCAAAAGGGACATAGTACCTTTTATGCACCGAAAATGGTTCATTTGAACCTTGTCAGGGGTAATCACATAACGATAAACCGTACTTATGGTAGCAAATAGGAGATACGAATATAAGTTATTGCTTATGTCCTCATATTGTCCCACTTGCATCAAAAGATAAATGTGCCATATATTCTTTTATGTCCATCCACAAATTCTCGAAGAATTTTAGTGTAAATATCTATAAAAAAAGAATACCCAAACAATGCTTTGTGTTGTCGCTGTGTGCACAAAATGGCACTGAGCAGCAATATCACAGACATCCAAACAATTTGAGGCCTTTACGCATGAATTTCTGTGGGCATTTTTATATATGCACTATTGTTATTGTTAAATACAATTATGTGTATGCAGTCCTATAATTTTATCCAATTTCATACAATAAAAACGTGTCTTTTTTATTTATCATATTGTAAAAATGACAATTTCTGCCAAATGCAGTAGTTAAATGCAATTTGAATCGTAGATAAAGTTAGTCTTTAATATGTACAATCATAAAGAAGCTGAAACAAACAAGTAAATGGTGCAATATCATAGATCATTGTTTTATTATGTTTTTACAAATTTTACATACTTGTAGGATAGAATTAATTTTGTAGAATTTTGATTTTAAAAAAATTAATGGACTTTTTTATATAAAGTAATTCCACCATCTACAGTAATTATAAAACTTAGTTTCTTCTTGAGCAATAACAAATTCCCATTTTTACTTTGATATCATGATTGAGAAAGGTATCAAAATGTATCATCACAATAAATAATGTATCAATGTAAGTGATATCATGAAATTTGCACATAATAGTTTGTAATGATGGTTCATCAGCCAAACAGCGGCTTCCATATAACCCTGTATACAGAATCTTAGAGGCAAACTCTACAATCTCAACCTATATTTCTATATATTTCAACCAGGTGTTAAATGGGTACCCGGTATGATGCGAAAGCTAATGTGGTTTGATTAGCAATGGCGCTTGTAAAATGGCGACTGGCTGGAATGCTCCCCAGGGAGTGGAGAATGTTTTTACCTTGTGTGCGGGTAAGCATGAATCCGATGACCGGGGTAATAATATGTGCTGCGCCTAGAAACAAAGTATGAGGCGCATTATAAATGTGAGCTATTATTATTATTATATTGCCTCGTGTAAGTACTTTGGTGCTTGATTCACTTGCTGGGACTATTTTAAGAAATCTTTGACATTAATTACTTTACATAACTGTGCCAAAGCTGTATTTCTCTTGAATATGAAAATCGGTCATAAATTTTGTTGTTAACAGATGACAGTAGTGAAATAAGAGTAAAATCTGTTTTTTAACATAAATCCTTGAAATAGCAACCATAAATAGAAAAATGTGCATTTTCATCATGGAATTGTAGTACATCATGGTAACAAACTCACAATATGACTCATTTCACATTGAACTTTGATAACAGTCTAACGTTACTCATGATTGTTAAGGTGTTCACAGTTCACTGAATAGGATTATGATATGCATGAGTACTTAATAGTTAAGGCTCGTTACGCTGGGGTAAAATCACTGTGATGTGTTTTTTGTGTACTAAATAAATGGTACATGGGGATGGAAAGAAGTAGCTGTGTGTAAGAACCCCTGTAGTAAACTGCAGCGGTTTAAAATGATGAATAACCAATATATATACATAATACATTTATAAAGCGCAGTAACTATGCAATGTATTATACTGCGCTGTAAGAGGTCCTGATGTGCCTTTAATAATCTACAATATAAAGTTAAATGAAAAGATGTGCATTTAGCTTTGATTTAAAAGTACTTAACGATGGTGATTTTCTATTTTCTAACAGTAAGTTATTCCACAGTTTTTGGCCTATGCAAGCAAATAATGACTTTTACTATGGTATATTATGAACAGGGATGAAGAGATTGAACATAAATACAATATTTTAGAATAATAATACTAATATAATACAATAATGATAATATAGTGGAAACGTAAAAAAAAAAATGACCTCTGAAATAGCTAAATAAATGTACCTGATATAACAAGGTTGTACCTGATATAACATGGACCCAATGTTCATTTTACAATCAGTGTATGTTGAAATACATGTAGCTTTATGGAAAATTGCACAAAAGACATAGTTTGACATTGACACATTGGTAATCCAATGATCATACATGATGAACTTTACTACATACATTGTATTGGATATTATGATATGAAACAACAGTGTATCAAACATTCATTCTCTACCTTGCTTTTGATACCCCTACCCTGCCTTTGATACCTCTATCTTGCTTTGAATAGTTCTTTTTTTCTTATTATATTTATGTAGTTGCTTTCGTATAATTCGAATTTAGTTCAGTCAGATATATTCTAGGCAGTTCTGTTTATTAACTTCATCATATATTTTCTTCAGTGTAATAGTATAGATAGAAATATACACTAGAATGCCTGTTTCTTGTAGATATTAGTCATACAAATGAAATAGTTGCCTAATTTTCTGTACATGAAGCGTAATTACATCATATCAAAATACATGTATACCAAAGTCTACATGTTCCAATGATGCAGTACAAAGTTTAAATTGGCAGCTATAATGAGAAGTATTATTTTGAATGAATAATAGAAATCAAATCAAGTCGTGTAGATATGTACAGCTCATGGAATGAGTTTAATGACAGATGACGTATTCCTACAGCATTGATAGTGCTAGTTTTGCAATTGAGATTTATAGTGATCCTTATACACAGTAATTTATTAGATCTGCACATCATGTTCACCTGTATGTGATATTCTGCGTGACTTTGTAGGTACATCTTTTTCTGTGACGAAGGTCGTAGAGAGTTTATAGATCAGCATGCATGTTTGAAGTATTGTAAATATGATATATCAAGACAGATAGATAAAAAAACTGATTATTAATATATTCATCTTACGTTTTGTACTATGAATTGTTGTTAGAATAGCTTTTATCACAAATAGCAAAGCAATGACGAGAACATAATTATTTGTTGAATGTACATGATAATATGTAAGAAACCAAATACATCATGGTATTTTGTTTAATAAATCAAATTTGAATACATAGATTTGATATATGTTGTTTGTTGTGTAAGTCTCTATATACATGTATTGGATTTGAACATATGTTAATACAATTATATATAAGATAATAGCTAAGCTAGATATATACTGTGATGATATAGATCACTTGTATGTGTCATATAATGACAACCATTGTGATTTTAGTTTCAGTTTTAAAGGACACAAAGTTCAAGCAGCAATTTCCTGTTTTCAAAATTTCCTTTTCAGTAGTTACAGTAACTTTAATGTATCTGCGGTCTAAACTGAATATGTAGACTATGCAAAAGTATTATGAAAGTAAAATTGTGAAATATATATACTGTGATGATAAAGATCACTTGTATATGTCGTAATGACAACTATTGTGATTGTATCTTCAGATTTAAAGGATAAAAAGTTCAAGCAACAAATTCCCGATTTAAATTTTCCCTTTCAGAAGTTGCAGAAAGTTTAATGAATCTGTGGTCTTAACTGAACAAGTATAATTGCTGTCAGGTAAATAGAGTAAAAAATATGTTGAAATATATGTAATTCCTGTGATTGAAAGATATGGCTATGTAACCAAGAAATTGCTGTGTAAAATGCAGAATATATCGATCGCAGTTAATTATTTTAAACAGGCATTGTAGGCTGTAAATAAAATGAATGGGCACGCAATAAACTTGCATTTGAAGTAATCATCATCCGCCTATTAATATATTCTCTACGATTCATGGTGATAATGAGATCCGTCCTTTACTTCAGACCTGTCTGCTTTTGAAAGAAACAGCTCAAGGAGGAGGATAGTGCCGGTCTTATTCTCTCCAGCAATACGGTAGCGATCTTCACTCACGTAAACCATATCGATGTGTTTGACCTGTGATTTGCAGTCAAAAGACGCCATCAACTGTCGGGACGGAAGATGCCAAGCCTTGATGGTGCAGTCACGTGATGCTGTCACCAGGTAACGGTCGTCTGCTGCTAGACACATATCCATGATAGCGTGTGTATGCCCATTTAAGAAACTACAGAGATCGATAGTGAAATAATGATAACAATCTGCCATTAATGAAAGAACTACAAGCAATTCAATTGATTAATATGAAATGAAAGTGGAACCATTAATAGTTATGATTAGGCGTATATATATATATATATATAAGTGGCTATATTCAGCTTTCATTTTGTACACGGAATAACAAAACCAATGATTAATGATCATAGCGATTTTCCCTGTGTAATAAAATACGACCCTATTGTTTTTAAAGATGAATGCAAGTACATGGTTTATTAAATCTTACATCAAGGAAGAAGTAGTAGACAAAGATAAAGAAAAGGATTACTTAATAAGAAGGAGGTGAAGCTGAAGAAGAAAAAGAAGAAGAAGAAGAAGAATGTAAAGGTGAAAAAGAAAGAAGATAACTTACTGGTCTTCCGCTTCATCTCCCAAGACGTTCCATACATGGAGTTGTTTATTTCCTGAATGCGAACCGGTGATAACTCTCCTACCATCATGCATAAAGACAGCACACACGACCTCTAATGTATGGATGGTCAGTCGTTTGACCACTTGACCAAAAGTCCCATTAGATAGGTCCAGTGACCAGAGAAGAGCTATCTTGTCATTTCCTCCAGTAACTGCGTATTTCCCTGCGAGATTGAGAAGCAATGATCAAATCCTTATTTATATACGGCTTGTTCTGATATCATCAAATGTAATTAATATATATGTAAAATCTAAACAGTATATCTTATAACACACCCCTTACAATGCATAAGCAATCTTCAGGCAAGAAGACTACCATGTAGTATTTGAAATGAGAAGTGTATTTGTAAGGGCAAATGTCATAATCGGGTGCAGTATCAGCATTCTTTAAAAGAGATACATTTTCCTGGTTTAAAAAAAATGTAATTGTAGATGTCCCCCAAACTTTGAAGAAATAGATCGTCACAATCACGAAAAATATATAACTTTCAGGAAAAAATTTTTTTTTCGAAAAATGTGTTCATAGATAACCCCCCCCCCCCAAAAAAAAAAACAACAACAAAACAAACAAACAGAAAAACCCTCCTACCATCATCTGAAACAGTAAGACATCGAATTGATGTCCGGTGCTCTTTGGCTGATAGCAGACATTCTCCTGTCCCGTATTTCCATACATTTAGCATGCCCTTGCTGTCTGCTGACAAGATGAGAGTGTCTGCCTGCTGCTTTGCCACTTTCACAACCTCTACAGAACCTTTATGCCCTAAAACAGGAGACGAAACATAAACATTTATCGCATTAAGAAATTAAGATATTTAACGTTTTGCAATAAACTGCAACAGGAAATTACAGTTATTGTAAAACGTGGAAATCAGTTAAGCATCTTCTGTTGCGATAATTCCTATTGATCCGGGTTTATTCAAATAGAATATTGAAAGTTGTAATTTGATTTCCTAACTCGATTCTAAATATGTTTTATTCACTTAAACATAATTAAAGAAAAACTAAAGCGATTTGTTCGCATTAAGCTTGTTCAATTATTCAGTAGTGAAACGAATTTCATTGAAAAGTAGAAATAGAGGTCACTTCCATGGGGTTTACCGGTTTGAACATTCACCTCCTTCGATCTTGATTTTGAACAGTTAAAAGCAGAACAAAGAAAAGTCTCTCAAAATTATATTGTAAGATAGTTACCTTCCGAAGTTATCCGACATGACCTGGTTGCCAGGGACCAAACTTTTACCGTCATATCAAGTGACCCAGTGACGATTTCGTTATCATGCCCTTCGCTAATGGAAAGGACGTCCTTCTTATGACCTTCAAGGTCGAATGCACTATTCCCGTCATCTGATTGGGCAATATCCCATACACGGACCACGCCTTCATCTACCATTCCTCCAAACAACTTCTTGCCATCGCTGCTTACCAGGAGAGTGTATGCGAACCCGGTCTCTCTTCGTATCACTTGGCCGTCATGGAACCTTGAGAACTTGACAGTTGCCTCTTTGCCGCTGGTAATGACGGTTGATTCGTCTGGTCCAAAGACAAGACCAAATGCATGCTCTTTGTGCCTCTCTCTTTTTATCACCTACGATTAGGCAAAGACAAGCAAGAGAGCAAATTATTAAAAGACGGTAGCTTAATCCACAAATGAAAACATTAACCTCTATATGTTCATTTTTTGGTACGGTTGTCTATCTAAAGACAGATAATGAAACTTGTTACAAAATGTCTTAGATTTGTATATAAGTGTATGACTTATCACTAATTGTGGCAATCGAAGCCGGACTCACCGTTTTTCGTTTGTAGTCCCACACTTTAGCGCTCTTATCATTAGATGCAGAGTAGATTTTCTGACTTTTTGATCCTGTTACATCTGAAATCCATGATGAATGTCCTTCTAGAGAGGTGATGAGAGAATGTCCAGTATCATCAGGGTTCAGACTCCACACATTCAGGCAATCATCCTTGGATCCAGTTACCAGAATCTCTTGTGAGTCAGCCTCACCTGGGTTAGCCGCGCCATACCACAAAGACGTGATCATTCCGACATGACCTACGAAATAAAGAGGAAACAACTCCGTCCTAGTGAGAATTCTAAAGACATTTTGAATAGTTACTAATCGATATAAGAGCTTACAAATTATTTTATTGTAACCTTATATTGATAACGACGAACTGTCTACTGCAAAACTCAGGAAATTTTGAAACTTTATTCATGCTTATTTTTTTTTTGCAGGGATTATAATCAAAGTTTCTGAGATGGAATGGACTAGTTTTTTAGTGAATATTATTAGTTCAAAAAACAAGATGACCACTAGGTTATCACTAACCTTTGAAAGTCAATATTGCCGTTCCCGTCACCATATCCCAGACGTAAACGATGGATTCTCCAGAGCCAGAAACAAGGCGGTTATCTGACAAAACCAAAAAGCAGGAAATAGCTTTCTTATGTCCTTTGAGTGTTCTGCCGGAATCTTGTTCTTCATGCGGATACTTTGATAACTTGATGGTTCCGTCGTTACCGCCTGTGATGATGGTCTTGATTGATGTTGCTTGAGTAGCTTCCCTGATATCACCAGCCCTGTGAACTTCAAAACTGTCGATGCATTCCTTGGTCTCGATAGACCATCTTCTGATACGTCCATCCTGACAGACTGACAGAATTTCGGAATTGCCTTCGAAAAAAGTAAAATGCACACCTGATGGATGATTCAGGCTCGTCAAGAGTTGCCCACTCTTTAAACCCCACAGGTACACATTCGTGCCTTTCTCTGCGCCAGATATGGCAAGACACCCATCATCTCGAATCCGAAATGAGGTGATGGCATGGTTCTTTCCGGTTTCCAGCTTGCAAACCAGTTCCCCACTACATAGTTCGAACATACCGAGAACCTGACAACCGAAGACAACGTGTTTCTCGTCAGGGCTTAGGGCAAGTGTCAATTGTCCAGATGCTTTCTTTTCAGCCTTTATCTCAAGGGTGTGAATGAGTTCTATCTTTGTTTCATCCCACACATTTGCCATCGGTTGTCCGTCATCGCCTTTGCATATAGTCACAAGGACGTCTGCAGAACCAGCGAAGGCAATGGCCTCTACTCTAGTCGGGTGACCTGCAAGGGATGCTTTCAACTGTCCTCCAGGAGGGATGAGGCATGCTCCTCTGGGAACTATTAGAGGTAGAGCAGTTGTTTGTTGCCAGGTCTTGGCTTCCGTAAGAAGTCTTCCAACATTCAGATACACATCGACAAAGTCAGACAAACGACCAATCAGCTGCCCTGCCAATGAAAATGGATCTTCCTTGATATTGCTACCTGATAGATAGAGTGCATCTATCAGCAGAGCACTCTCTTCATCATACTTCATGAAGTCATCGATGAGCTCTATGAAATTTAGAGCTCTCAGCTTGGTCAGAATCCATTCAAAGTTGAACATTACATACTTGACCAAACCATAAGGAAGGCCATTTATGGTTTTACATTTCATGAGGTGGTATGGAAGTTCTTGCAACTTTCGCAAATTGAACACGTCTTCTCCGAACATTAGAGGCTGTGCGGCTGCTTGACGATCTGCCTTTGGAAAGTCCTTTTTGCGACCGTGGAGTCTGATTGGTTTGATTGCACCATTACTATACTCTCCCCTAAACATATCTGCAAGTACCTGGTGCCTAGCCTCTGTGATATCGGAGTCACCGAGGTACCTCTTCCGAGCGGTCTCAATGAATTGTCGGTGATACCAAGCAATCACAGTCTTTCCACCCGCTTGACGTTCAGTAATGAATTCGTCGATGTCCAGACGTAATCGCTTCCAGAGAGATGGAGGAATTCGAACAACGCCTTCATCAGGAGGATCCCAGTACTGGTAGACATCATTGAGAACCTGGTCATCGCAGGACAGGACATCCTCAATCTCTGCTTCTGTCAAACCGCTCTTTCCCGCAGTTAGATAACCAAGAGCGTGGGCTACAAATAGTCTACCATGGCGATCCTCTAGATCCTGGAACAAGGACAAGATAGCTTCAACAACACTACCAGGAAGCTTTATCTCGTCCATCTTCTTGAAAGATGACCAAGTCACAAATTCCTCGAACAGCAGTTTCAGGAACAGAGGCTGAGGACATTTTGTGAAGGCTTCTGTCACAATATTGACCTGTTCACTGGTGAGTGTTCTTCCTCTGCTCTTCAGCAAACTCTTCATGATCGCAAGGCCGTTATCTTGTGCCACAGCATCCATAGGAATGTAACATCTCGTATCCTTCAAGGTCACTTTGATATTATCTAGGCATTGATGCTCTTCTTCGAGCATGGATGCGACAATATAGGTGTTTTCATGGAGGACTTTAGGCAACCAATTCATCATATGAGCGTTGTGAGTGGACGCCAACTGGTCAATGCTATCCAGGAGTAGTAGAAGAGGCTTCTCTTTCGATGGGAGGTTCTTGATCAAGGTGTTGAATGTCTGAACCGTTTCCGAAAAATCCTCCAAGTGCTCATCTGCAGGTTGTTTTACACCATAGGCAAAGCAGACCTATACGAGATTCAAAAAAATATAAGACCCTTAAGGCATATCAAGAATATAATCAAACGGGGGGGGGGGGGGGGTGACGCCGGCTCTATCCTTTGTCAGGTACGCAATGATTTGAAATTATCATCACGTGTCATAAAGGGTTTGAGATCGAGGAAGTAGATTAAATTGTTTGTGAGGTGATTAATGCACATCACTTTTAAAGACCCTTATTAGGGTATCTTTAAGTTAATTAAATAATAAGTATTTTCACTTGGTTGAATGACTCCCATTTTTCATTTTCCTTTAACAAACCGAAACACGACCAAGCTTTTTAGGTATCAAATTCACAATTATAAGTAAATACCTGTCTACATATGCTTTGAAGGGTCACGTGTATTGAGGAGGTCTGTGCAGATGTTCCAAGAAAGCGTAGAACCGTTACACAATCCCTTCCAATCAATTCCTTGCTGTGTTTGCCCACCATGGCCATGACAGAGGTCTTTCCTGATCCAGAGACACCGTGGATAACTAGTGGCCTTCCGAGGTTTGCTGTGAGGCGTGCCTGGATTGACCCTATCAACGCCTCTCGTCCTTGAAATGTGCTGCATTATGAAAGAGGAAGGGTTATAAACATAATTATGTCACTATTAAAGCCCCACTGTACTACTTGTACCTACTTGCTCCCTCTATGTAGAAAACAATGCCTAATCGGTGTCCATTGGTCCCCCATGATCCTCTTTTTCTTATATTAATTGAGAGCTGAGTTGATGAGATAGCCTCCTGTCAGTGACCTCTCTGGGTGGTCTAGTCCCTCCTAGCCAAACTAGTACAGATGGCCTTTGAAAACATTTGGAAACACCTCTCGGGTTCAAAACAAAAAGATTTTCTCAGGAAAATATGTAGTATGCACGTTTACTAGATATTGTTTTTTTTTATCACATTTTCTTCTGGAACGACTTGACTATGTGTTTGACGAATGAAACAATCACCTGCATTTGGCTTTACAGAAGGACGCATGGTGTAGGAGCTCTTTGTACATGTTAGTCCTCAGCGGATCTTTTGCAGCAGTTGTGCGACCTTGAAGGTTCTTATCGATCATACCCTTCATCCTGCTTTCAAAGACCTCGCAGATCTCGTTCAGATACTCGGCGTGTTCCTTGCAACCTAACGGATCGAGGCCTTTCTCGGTCCAAGGTATACTGTACTTCTTGATTGAATCTGATGGGACAACTCTGGTGATGTATTCTGTCTTCAGTGTGGACAGCTTGTCTTGAGGAAGCCTCATGAATTGAACATCACTGCCATCCCTTATAACGAAAGAAAAAATCTTAATGAACTTCATCATGTGCAAGATGTTCTCAGTTCTGGAGAAATTGGCAAAAGGGATAAAGGGTTGCAACTGGTTACAAAGAACTGTCCCGAATGTAAAGCAGAAAGCTCATTTTAGGTGTTCACACTTGTACAAGCATTGCTTTTTAGTGGACCCTCTGTTTCCAACATGTATTTCTTACATTTGTTTTAAATGCTTATAATTGATTTGTAATGTTTTGTTGGAAACATGAATAAATTTGAATTTGTACTAAATTTGTCTTGGAGGTTACAGACTTTAGGCAGCTAAGTTAGCAAATGAGTCGGTTGATCAAAAGTAGAATTGAATATCGCAGCCTCCGATTTCCTAATAATTATCTCATTAATTAAGTACAAATGAGATTTAATTGGATTTCCCTGAATATACCTTTATTAAATCCTACATCTTTACAAGTAATCGTTTTGAATATATGTAAAGCAAAACTATTAAATAACCCCCTCTACCACAACTATTTTTTCACAAATTCAGATAAAACATACTTACTTTATTGTCTCAATGTCAGCATAGTCTGCGAGCACACCTCTGTTTTCTTTGGAAGGAACGAGATTTTGGAAATCTCGTACAAAGAAGAAACATGTATCTTGGAGATTGGTGTTTTCTTTCAGCGCATGTCGTATCTCTTCTTCCGTAACTGAATATAAGGAAAATGTATACATGTACGTATTTACAAACAGGAATGTCGGCAATCAAAATACAAGAAAATGAATGCCGTAACTTATTGCGCAAGATAAGAAGGCATTTTGGAGGGAAATCTATGGTGATACTGTTTTCCATGTGTTATAAAGGAGGGCATGCAGAAATAGAGTGGGGATTGGTTGTAAACAGAAACTTCATTTTGAAAGAAAGTCACAAGAAGTTAAATGTGTAAATTGTTATTATTGTGATCTTTAGAAGTATATGATAGAATTAAAAATTACCGGACATTACAAAGGAATTAATTTCCTCTTCACTGTACGCTTCCATCGCTGCTGGCGACTTGGCAAACTCATCAAAAACATTCCTCATCCTAGCATAGATCTTCCACCAGGTAGCCCTTGCCTCCTTCTCCCTCTCGGGTTCACTCTTGTTGTGGTAATCGGGTAGGATTGCGGTGATAGGTAGAAGTGCGTATACAGGAGGGACGGCGTTCGTGTCCTCGGCATACCATGTCTTGAGGAGATCGACGTCGTCTTGGTTGACCTTGTCGTCTTGTGATATGATGGCTAGGAGCTTCTGAAATGTCTGTGATTGAATGGTTGATTTCAACGGTCTGTAACCGTACTTATTGCCAAGAAAACCCTGTGCAAGTTGGAAATTAATGGAGGATTAAACATTTATGCATGTCTATATATCATAATCATGTATGATATGTGATTCCCTTGGGTCAGTTTAAATACGACAGTAGAACTTTAAATTAACCGGGGGATATGCTAATTTCAAGGTAAAATGTTAAGGAGAGGGCAACAGAAAAGGGGGAGGGGGCACTGAAACGCTAACCATTTAAAAACCTTTCAAATAGCCGACGGGAGAAGGAGAGGGGGTACCTCGTACGATCGATACTGGTTGTGGGTTAGTTTTGAACGTCGACTTCACACCCAGTCATAAGTAAATGAGAAAGGAATGGAAAAAAGATAAATTACTAAGTGGTTGATTTTTGTGACAGATATATAAACTTCGATCGTCTTTAAAATCCACACATTACAATAGCCTACACTCTAAAACATATTGGGCAAAACGTTGCCCAAGTTTTACCCAACATGAGGGCGATTATGTGTCCAACCAGCTGTTGGGTAAATTAAAGATTTTGCATAATTTACCCAGTGTTGGATAAAAAGAAAATACCCAACCTTTAACCAACAAAAATTTACCCAATCAGAAATTCACCTAATTCTCACCATAATGTGTAGCATGTTAGACACTAGTTGGGCAAATAAGTTGGATAAAATATTATATATAATATATATATATAATATATATAAAAGAACATTAGCTCCGCGGCGGGACCATAGAACCGCGGACCTTGTGATCCACAGTCCTGCGACATATCCACTCGACCACGACAACTCTAATATAAGAACAGAACCCTATTGTTGCATAATTGTTGTCCGACTTACGTTTGCCCCGTAACATCTATTTTGAACATTTAATTAGGTAACTATACATGTAGTAAATGGTTGGGAGAAAATAACCCAATTATCGGACAAAGTTACCCAAATTCGATTTACCCAGTAACATCTGCCCAACTTTTTTTGACAGTGTACATGACTGAATGATCCTAAAACAACAACACACAATACAACTTTAATTTGCCCAATAACATTACCCAATTATTTCATCGGTAACTATACATGGTTGGTAGAAAATAACCCAATTATTGGACAACATTTGCCCAACATCGATTTGTCAAGTAACACCTACCCAACCTATTTTTTTACCTTTCATTAGGTAACTTTATATAGTAAATGGTTGGGAGAAAATAACCCAATTATCGGACAAAGTTTGCCCAAATTCGATTTACCCAGTAACATCTGCCCAACTGTTTTTTTTACAGTGTACATGACTGAATGATCCTAAAACAACACACACATGTAGTGGACCCCTAATGCCCATTTCACTAAAATATTCATGAGTATGATTTAACATACTCTTTAGCTTCATTCCAACTCTTACCACAAAGTAAGGTCCCTGAGACATCCGTTTACATCTATCGATTTCATTGAGGCACAAGAATGACGTCAGATGATCAGCCGTAGCACTGTCTCTGACACCCCATCTCATGTCAACAACCTCAAATTCTAGCTGCCTTTGTTGGCAGTACCGTCGGAGCTCTGGAAACACCTCCTGCATCAACTTGTTTCTTTCCTCTTTCATGTCTGCAAGGTCAAAGGTTACCATGGTATGGTTAGTTTTATCAACATTTAAGGGCTATGAATAGACAGAGTCATCTAATTTGGAATGCTTTAAAAGCAGTCGTATGTATTCAGGAGGTGTTCATTACCTAGCACTTTGCAAAATTCAACGTCTATTTCTTCATTCAAACACCTTTATAAACAATTAATTTTCATTAATGTACTACATAACCAGTGACATCAAGGATATATACAGTGCGTCCCAGAAGAAAACGAAATCGATAATTACCGATGTTTTATCATTTTTTAATCACATTAATAAGTAAAAACATGACACATATTGTAAAGCGTAAATACTCCTCTTTCATTTGATGCAACTCATATAATGCACGCAAGAGTGATTAAAACAGTTTGAAGAAAGGGTACCAAAACAAAATGTCATTTGGCGAACGGTGTCTGAATTTCAAAGAGAACGTTCATTATCTGCCCTTTCATTTAACATCTCAATCAGTAAAAATGAGCCAGGAATGACAAAATTCTATTTGTTTAAAGTTAATCACAGTTCCTTGCATTTAGTGATACGTCTATGGTGATACAGTGTGTTTTCCTAACACGAAAGGTTTGATACATGTTGGTTTGCGCTTGGCGTACGTGATTTTCATATTATACCACATGCATTCATGCAGACTCTCCACAGCCCTTTTATATAGACTTCCCATAGACAGGTATGTCTTTGTACCAGCAAATCATTATTGCTCGTACGTCGACTTTGTCCCATTTATGGACTTTGTTCTCTGAATGGATTTGCAAATAATTTTATGTAAACCAACATTGCAGCCAAAGTACAAGCAATGTACATATGAAAATTATTAAGTAAAAACGTTGCTCTTCACATTTAAGCACTCAAAACACTTGATAAACACTTGAAAGGAAATTAGAGATACGTAGAGATATATACCGGTAAAGAGGGGTCGATCGCGTGGGGAAAAGAGAGGGGGATCGAGAAGGAGAGAGAGAGAGAGAGAGGGGGGGGGGGGGTAAGGGATAGGGGAAGAGAGAGATAGATAGAGAGAGAGAGAGAGAGAGAGAGAGAGAGAGAGGGGGGATCAAAGGAGTAATAAAAAGAATACGTGACACAGGAAAATCAATATTTTTAGGGGCCCAAGAAATGTAAAACTGCACGGTATCGAGTAGAAGAACGTTAGCGTAAATCAAGTATAGCATCACGAAGAAAATTATCCCGAATCCCTTCATTGTCTTCCTCTTTCTCTCTCTACCTCTCTCCTCTAAAAAGGCGAAGACCTAACGTAGTCAGTCAAATGCTGACCCCCTTTTTGCGGATATAAGAAATGGGCGAACGTCTAAAGTGATACTAAATACTAAAGTTGCATGTACCTGTGAATGTCGAGCTCAGGAAGATTCTCACTGTGTTAGACTCTTGATCCGGAAGGTTTTCTGTGTCACCCTTCACCAGGGATTCGAACGCCGACCCCGCCGGCAGGGCGTGTATAGCCTCATCCGTCATTGTCCTTAACTGGTTTTAGACATTTTATATATGGGAAAGGAGAACAGATATATGGCGAGAGACATCAGAGAGAGTCAGAGAGAGAGAGGGGGGGGGGGGAGGGAGGGAGAGAGAAAGGGAGAGAGAGAGGGAGATAGAAAAAGGAAAGAGAGAGATAGAGAATGAGAGAGAATGAGAGGGAGTGATCGAGAGAGAGAAATAAAGAAAGAGGGGGGGGGGGGGGCGGGTACTTTGACTTATATACACAAAGATAATTCTCTTTTTATAACGCTAATATAATATGATAGATCTACATTATAGTTATACGGCTGATGAATAATTGTAACACGTACCGACTTTTTGAATTTTTTGTCCGTGTTAGAATAATATACCTCCAAAATGCTGCGTCAATGTAAGCAAAAGCATAGTTACTGTGTGATTGGGGGTATGTTCTTTCCTCTAGTGTAAGGTTGTGCTGAGGCATTATAATGCTTAACTTCAATTGATGGAGAAGAAATTAGAATGATCAGATAGGCACTTATACAACTAAGTCTTGCAACTAACCCTTATAAGAAGCTACATTATTGTTATTGGCAACTTTAAACGGGTTCTCTAGTAATGATCGAAGCTATTGGTGTAGGCTTTAACTTCAAGAAATAATGTTAAACGTACCTTTACATTTTCGTCGACATTAACAATTATTCATTATGAGGGGGGGGGGGGGGAGCAATTACAACTTGCCCATTCTTTTGACCACGGTGACGTTGAACTTGACAACGAAATAACAAAATTACTCAGCTGGTTCAATCATTGCCAGTACACTAATTAAGTTAGTAGATTGAAATATTGCTCGATCGCTAAGCGTTGTGGTTAAAATCCAATAGCAATCAAATCAACTCTGTAAAAATAAACAACTTTGAACCGTCGAGCCGGTCAAGTTCAATAAAACTTACCCTTGTTCTCTGTAGAGCTACATAAAGCACCAGTTCGTTCCCGTAGTCGAATCACGAATGCCTATACCGACGTTCAGTTGATGTATGATTGCGACATAGCGCAGACATAATTGTCACCCAATTGGCATTTAGTTCGCCGGATGTACAGGGTTAGGTGAAAAATAAAAGGAAACGATTGCTAAATCTTCCGTATTAACCTATGTACTCTCGAAGCTCCAACACGGGAATGAGGAAGGGGTGGGGGATAAGGGAGGCACGTAGGTCTGTGGTGAGGCTGAGGATTGGGGGGGGGGGGGGGGGGACTTACTTTCAACTGAAATGAAATTTAAGTTGACATGATTACTCGTTAGGCTTATTTAGGTGTATAAGGCCTAGTGGTAATGGAAATGACATAAAAGGTTAGACCGGAAGACAGAGTAATTATGACTAATAGTAAAACAAGCGTCGAATGCATGCCCAATTCAGGCGACTTCGTGAACAGATGAGACAAATAAAGATAATGAGAGAGGGCGAGGAGAAAATGAGAACTAGGAATATAGGGGAGAGGGCAAATTAGGGGCTGGGGAGGGGTTATAATCAGTCAAAGTTAGAGAAACATGTACGTATGGTTCTCAGGCCATTTATCTTCCACTATATATCACACCTCAACCAATGCAAATGTGTCGGACTTGATGTTACCTTTGCCTTTTCTCTTATTTAGTGTAAATATCGAATATTGACTTTCCACGAGTTTACAGTTCAACATAATTATATTCACACAACAACACGGAGAAATTACACTTTTTTGTTTTATATGTTTTAATATGATAATCAGTTTTCTGAAATGAGTCATTTCCTTTCCCAAAGACTCGTATCAGTTTAATCTAATCATCACTCATTTCTATCAGCATCACGTACATGGTCACAGGAAGCCACAATTAAAGTTGTCATTAGTGTTGAGCTAACAATCTCGTGGCTACTGTATGCCTTGCATCATGGATACTTGTATGTGATATGTTTATGCATATGGAGTAGGGTGTGTGGGTGAATTAAAGTGTGTGCGCGATAGAAAAGGGGGCGTGCGCGTATGCGTGTGTGTGTGTGATTGTGGATTAACTGCGGAAAGTGCTTCTACGATTACATTACAAGCAATCAAATCTAAAGTAAGACATATATGTGTAAACAAAGCTATATGAGAAATAAAAAGGACCTGAGTAGGCCTACTGCTGCGTTATGATAGTGAATCAGTTGCTCAGACGTGGGTATATAGATGGCAACACACATACGTACGCACAGGAGCGTAATACCCATTGGCTTAGTGTTATACAGGTAGTGATCGCCAAGTTGCCTACTTTACGTACGACTATTCTGTATATCCACGCATGCACATCTTTAAGATCATTTTTTCCGTTCTATAACGGCATCTGTAAAAGACAAATTTGAAATGTACAGTTTTGCGCGGAAAATAAGCACTGAATATATTATTAAAAATCAATATATACAATTTATTAATTGATTTGTTTAAATTCATTCAATTTATGAATTCATGTAGTTTTATTTTTGCAGATAGTTATATTCTTTTTGAAATGTTCAGAATTCTACATGCACTATTGAGGCTCTTATGATATATTTTGAAACAGATCTTGACGGTTTGTATTCTTATGTCATGTAGCGTAAAGGGAATATCGATTGCATCGTGTAGGGTAATTTGATTAAAGTCTAAAAGTAGGTTTGTACTCGGCGGATTATGAATGCAGTCACTTAGCTAAAACAATAATATTTACGAGCGGCTTGTGTTCGTGTATCCCTGTACTACTTAGATTAGCTATAAACACATGTGCGTTTTTTTTAATAAGTGATCTCCTGCAATCGTCCTGATATTTTGTTTAATATATAAATCATTAATGCTCTTATCTAGATCACCGAAACAAACAAATTGTAGGTATAGAACAAAACGATGAAAGAATGCTTGTAGCCAGTTCAAACTTTATGAAAAGAATCTATCCGCTTTACGTCTCTTTTTTGTGTCTAAATCAAGCATGAAATTTTAATGCTGTCACTGACGTGAAGTATAAAAGGACATCATTCTCTTGAGGTTCGGTTCTATAGGAGGCAATAAAGCAATATCGTCTCTGCCCTATTTTTCTTATTCGGAATATAAGCACTCATATTATTCCTAATCTTAACTTTTTCTCATATTTGCCAGTTATTCTTTTTTTATTAGTATATGATAAGACTATCTTTGTTAGGGTTAGGGTTAGGTCTAGTGCGTTATTGTTCCAATTATCGATCGAATTATTGACCGCTGCGCCGGTCCTCCCGTAGAGTATAAAACACGCGTGCTTACATTAGCTTTTATCACCTGACGAAGTGTTGCAGCAGCGCACGAAATGTCGTGATCATTAGATTCCTTATTGACCACATTGCGAGACAAACGAATATCACTAGCGATATTATTTTCGATACTATCTTTGTTGTTTTAGATTAAAGAAGTTCGCCGCTTTGAATTTATATACTCATAATTTTTTCTCCGCTCGCTCTCTTTTAAATCAACATGTTTCATAGAAAACGAAAGCTCCTGAGTAAACAGAAGTGTCATAGGCTTTATATAATTATATATAATCACTATCTGAAAAAATACAATTGAAACCGGTCATAGTGAAGAAGATAACTCACGAGGATTTTAATTTGTAATTGTTCTAATTATAACTTGTTTATTGCCGTGACGGAGGATTATCAACATGAAATTATTTGTTTTATATATATAGGCCTACATTAAGTTGATATTTTATTAACCACAAATTATGTTTGGTAGAAACGACAATTTGTAAAACATCGCTCTTAAACTCTGATACGATGTAGTAATGAGCCAAGAGAGAAAAAAAGTGCTTGAAACCAATTTCACTCTCCCCTAAGCCAAACCCTGAATATTCCACTGCCTTCTAGTTGCAGCTTTCTAAACACAAGTATTTGTGTATTTTTATATATTTAATCGGAATTAATATCTTTCATATTGCAGTTCAATAAATATATATATTAGTCGTGGATATCTGTAACGATCGAGGCCTATCGAGGTTTGTATATATAACCCTGGCTCATACCAATTAGAAAAATTGCAATTGGACAGCTACGCCCTTGTTTTGATAACGGATGAAGCAGGAGCATCTCTTATAGCATTAATCTGACCCGCCATTAGTTTATCAGAGCTAATATGGCGACGACACACTGACAAGACATCTCAGTAACTACTTCATAGCATCCAACGTATGTTCGCAACCATTTATAGGGCCTGCAACCAGCGGCTTCTCGTGTAAAAGTAGTTTTGGATGTATCTTTGTCGTAGTTGTTTAGCAGTTGGCTCGTTCAATGTTTTAAGAATACAACTGAAAATAACGATTATCAAACATTTTCTTGAAAATATTTATTTCGAATCTTCTTTTCGTTATTTTAACAGCGATGGAAAGCCAAATGAACAATTACTCAACTGACAGCAATAATTTATACGCGTACAGTCATGAAAACTCCAACTCAACTGCTTGGCTTGTGATAGTTCCATTGGTTGTTTCGATCATAGCAGCTGTTACGATCGTGGGTAATATCATGGTGATTGTTGCTTATATTCGAAGTCATCCGATCAGAGCCAGCGTTGCTAATATCTTCATTCTGAACCTGGGCATCACTGATTTCATTGTAGGAGCCTTCATGTGGCCCGTCAATCTAACATGGCTCATCAAAGGTCACTGGGCATTTGGTGAGCTCCTCTGTAAGGTGTGGTTAATAGCCGATTACACAGTGAGTGTAGTGTCTGTTTTAACCATGGTACTCATCAGCTGGGATCGCTATTGTCTCTTAACCATGGGGGCACAGTATCATACTTATCAGACTAAGAAGCGACTGTCATTGATCGTCTCTTTCAAATGGACAGTTGTTTGTATGTGGTACACTCTCCTTGCGTTTGCTTGGAGTCCCATAACTGGTCAGTACAATGTGAATTATGCTAATAACTGTGAGATGGAATTTTCATACAGTCTTGGTGGAACAATTGTCGTGAATGTGCTAGAGTTCTTCATTCCGTTTACAACCCTGCTCATCCTGAATATGGCTGTGTATGCTAATATCAAACGGAGATCGAGAGGTATTGTCGGACCAAGTCCTTTGACCAACCAACTGACTCTATCCATCTCAAGAAACCACGAACAATCCGACCATCCGTCATGTCCGAGAAACGACGGTCACTCTGCAAGACAAGTTTTCAATGACCAAGATAGAGAGGGAATCTCATTTAATAATTCCGCCAATAATGCTCCTGAAGCCAGCGAAGCCCAGGCACATGGACGCCCAACCGGCAACAGAGTTATGGGCAGTTCGGAGACAAAGGAACGGACATTCGCAAGACATCGTAAAGCCGCTGTTGTCCTTGCAGTCCTTGTAGGAAGTTTCCTGATATGTTGGTTGCCTATCCAAGTAACAACTGTCATGTATGCCATATGTGGCGAGAAATGCGTGTCGACTCTTAGCTGGGAGGTTACAAATTCACTTGTGTGGTGTAACTCCTTGATTAATCCTTTCATATATGCTGCCACTAATGTGCACTTTCGCCGTAACTTTCGGCACTATCTGCTCCTTGATCGTTGGACATGTGAAGTGAAGCGCTGTACACGAGTTCCATGATAAGACTACTTTGTATAGTGTTACAACGTCATATTTCACCGGTAGTATGAAGAATTTGAAAATTTCTAAACTTCTCATGGTTACTGATCAGATAAAACAAAATATTTGCGGTAATACTTCACACATACATCAACTACGGCACTGTAAAGGAGTCTCTGTTCGTCACATTATAAATTGAATATCACTTGACCAGCAAAAGAGGCAAGCTGTCAATTAAATAGGTATTCAGGATTTAGAAACAATGAAATTGTTCATCCGTTTGCAACTCTCCGCAGTCACACCATGGACCTTGGTCGGCGCTATCAGCTAAATTTGCAGTGCAAAAGGTACCTTAAAAATTCTTGACTTTTTTTCAGTACCCCCAGAAAAGAAAAACTGCTCCAGGTTCCTTTGCCATTTCCAAAAGTGGTTCAGACAATAACCGGCTTGCGACAACCGGAGATGCGTGCTTGAAGACGACCAAGCGAGACAGATCGGTCTCACGAACCTAACTTTTCTGAGGGTTTCCCGAACCGACACATTTTATCACATGGGCTGTTGGTCCATGGGATATGTCCCGATTGTGAACCATGAAATAAACAATGAAAACATTTCACTTCAAAACTACTTTGCGCATCATAGGGCTTTTCAAGATAAGAGTTGAGCAGTTTATGGTACCCATTAATCCATACGTACAAGTCTCCCTGTGACCATTCGTTGTAGGATGTTGTGGTCAAGTTAATTAGCTCATTTATAACCCAAGTAATGATCCATAAGAAGGTGCTCAGAAAAATCGTTGTTTTCATTGTATCATCTCTCACAGTTTGATATCGAAGCAAACCTCTAGAACCCAAGCAAATATATTATAGGCTGTCTTGAATGTCTAAAAGCTTATTAATACTGTTATAATTATTATTATTATCATTATTGATATTCCTATTATCATTATTTTTGATTATCATAATTAATTTTACATATTAGGCCAAATAACAAAGGTAATGAGTTTCTCGACCGGACTTTTTAAAGAAAGGAGGAGGCAGCGCTTTATTATTTACTATTTTCAGTTCTTTTCTCAAGATGGCCGTCATGCTAAATATGACTGGCCAAGGTATATGTATTCACATATATTGTGCTATTTGAGCATACTGATGCGATGTATGACAAAACAAATGATTTCTATAATTTTAGTCCACTTGCTAAATAATTTGTTTCAAAATTCAGAAACAGTGAAAATGCAGTGTTCAGCTCAAATCAACTAACGAAGCTATTTATAAAAAATGTGTAATTTTTAATGTTGTTGTCGTTGGTGTTGTCGTTGTTGTTGCTTTTTTTTTCTTTTTCTGAATAGTAAATAGTATTAAAAAAAGAGGCGGCGGCCAAAAAAGGAGGCGGGCAGGGACTAGAAACTCGTAAAGTTTTGTTACTTGGCCTCATCATTATTTTTATTATTGTTATTAGTGTTCTTGTTGTTATACTTATAGGTAATATTATTATCAACGATAAAATACTCCGTATCTTATGTAATACAGTGATTTAGAAACGAAAATGTTTATCAATATATGTTTAAAATATTTTCAAAACATTTCCATCCATCATTTGATGCCAGTAAATTGTTATAACGGTGTATAAAAATGAATTTTTCTGTCTATTCTTGACTTTTTAATTTGTTTAAATCGTAATTAGTGAAGCTTAGTTACGAAAGATTAAAATGGAAGTCATATTTATATTTTTCTTTCGAAAAAGTGAACTCGTCTAATAATCTTTTCTGTTACTACTAAATTTGTGAGTCGAATGATCTCAATGTTCTCTATTTCATATATATATAGATTAACCTTTTGAGAGCTCAGCTGTATTATTATTTCAATCAATTATTAATTATTCAGTGGCGGATCCAGGGGGGGGGGCCGAAAAGGCCGTGGCCCCCCCTATTGGCGGCGCAAAAAAAAGGAAGGAAAAAAGAGGAAGAAAAGAAGAGAAAAAAGAAAGGAGAAGAGAAGGAAAAAAAAGGAGAAGAGAAAAGAAAAGAGAAGAGAAAAGAAAGAAGAGAAAAGTAACAGAGAGAGATTGAAAAAGGGAGAAAAAAAAGGGAGAACCCCCCCCCCCCCCACCTCCCTCCCACTCCGGGGTCGGAGGGACCGAATTTGTGTTCCCAAAATCTCCGATAAAGGGTTACTTTTCACGCAACAAAGTCCGGCCCGTAATACACAAAAAATCCGGCCCTTACTGACTTTACACACCGGAGATACAGGGGTGCTTTCAAAGAGAGGGAACATACAACTGGGGGGGGGGGGGGGGGCGGGAGAAAAGTCGGGTGAGAAAGAGGGAAAGACAAAGAAATGGCGCTAAGTGACAGTAATGACGAATAAGGGAAAAACTGTAATCGGGAGATTTGGGGTCATTCCAGATGGCTTGGGAAACGTTATTGAATAGAGGGGGCCGGGCCGGCCGCATAAAATCTCGAGCTGCGGATTCAAAGTTAAACGTTAAAAAGAGCCCCTGCGCTACAAAAGTCATCACTCTTCAGTGAGAAATTTGAAAAGTGCACAATATGTTGGATGTCTTTTAAATAGAAGCCATATACAGTAAATTTTTTAATTAACGGTAGTGCCGCTTCACAACTCTTATTTTGCCCTTCATTTGGATTGAGCTCATACCAACTCGCTTGTGCTTGTATGTGAATAGGGGGGACTCGTACCCCAGGAAATTTAGAAATATAGCTAGAAAGAAATATAGCGGAAAGAACGTACATATTGGGATTTTCTAGAATGCATAATTTCAGCATTCAACATTGCAAAATCTCGCTTGGTCGCTACGCCCCGGCCCTCGCCTGATAACACAAAACTATGATATGACGCTCCCGGCCTTGATTTATCCATAGTTGGTGTAATAGATTTGTTTTCTTTCTTTTCTTTTTACCTAATTATTGTGTGCTATCACAATCATGATTGTTTCATTTTCCCTTTAAAGCAGACGTGTAGCAAGGGTCGATAGGGGCAATTAGAAAACATAGGACGAAAAAGGAGCACACAAAGAAACCTTTTTGATAATTCTGACAAGTCGAGAATGGTACAACGAATCATATTCTTTCTCTAAAAATTTAATGAAATGTCAAAGCTTCCGCGCTTCACGCGAGAGGGGGTAAGCTGAATTCAAACAAGGATTAGGAGTCGAGGATGGTACAACGAATCCTCTTCTTTCTCTAATAATTTAATGAAACGTCAAAGCTTCCGCGCTTCGCGCGAGAGGGAGAAAACTGAATTCAAACAAGGATTAAGAGTCGAGAAAGGTACAACGAATCTTCTTCTTTCTCTAATAATTTAATGAAACGTCAAAGCTTCCGCGCTTCGCGCGAGAGGGGGTAAGCTGAATTCAAACAAGGATTAAGAGTCGAGAATAGTACAACGAATCATCTTTTTCTCTAATAATTTAATGAAAAGTCAAAGCTTCCGCGCTTCGCGCGGGAGGGGGGAAACTGAATTCAAACAAGGAATAGGAGTCGAGAATGGTACAACGAATCATCTTCTTTCTCCAATAATTTAATGAAAACGTCAAAGCTTCCGCGCTTCGCGCGAAGGGGGGGGGGGGGGGGGAAGCTGAATTCAAACAAGGATTAAGAGTCGAGAATGGTACAACGAATCCTCTTCTTTCTCTAATAATTTAATGAAACGTCAAAGCTTCCGCGCTTCGCGCGAGAGGGAGAAAACTGAATTCAAACAAGGATTAAGAGTCGAGAAAGGTACAACGAATCCTCTTCTTTCTCTAATAATTTAATGAAACGTCAAAGCTTCCGCGCTTCGCGCAAGAGGGGGTAAGCTGAAGTCAAACAAGGATTAAGAGTCGAGAATAGTACAACGAATCCTCTTCTTTCTCTAATAATTTAATGAAACGTCAAAGCTTCCGCGCTTCGCGCGAGAGGGGGAAAGCTGAATTCAAACAAGGATTACGAGTCGAGGATGGTACAACGAATCCTTTTCTTTCTCTAATAATTTAATGAAACGTCAAAGCTTCCGCGCTTCGCGCAAGAGGGGGTAAGCTGAATTCAAACAAGGATTAAGAGTCGAGAATAGTACAACGAATCCTCTTCTTTCTCTAGTAATTTAATGAAACGTCGAAGCTTCCGCGCTTCGCGCGAGAGGGGGAAAACTGAATTCAAACAAGGATTACGAGTCGAGGATGGTACAACGAATCCTTTTCTTTCTCTAATAATTTGATGAAACGTCAAAGCTTCCGCGCTTCGCGCGAGATGGGGGAAAACTTAATTCAAACAAGGATTAGGAGTCGAGAATGGTACAACGAATCCTCTTCTTTCTCTAATAATCTAATGAAAGCGTCAAAGCTTCCGCGCTTCGCGCAAGAGGGGGTAAGCTGAATTCAAACAAGGATTAAGAGTCGAGGATGGTACAACGAATCCTTTTCTTTCTCCAATAATTTAATGAAAACTTCAAAGCTTCCGCGCTTCGCGCGGGAGGGGGAACTGAATGAAGATAAGGATTATTTACGAGTCGAGAATAATAATTTCATTAAACATCAAAGCTTCTGCGCTTCGTGCGTAATGGGGGGGGGGGGGGGGGGAACAGCGAGCTGCCGGAATTTCAATTTATGATATCTTTTCTCGTTTATGTTGGTGATAAATAACACTTTCACAAAATACATATTATGCTCAAATTTGTGCTCGCTCGCTTCGCTACCTGAATTGTAAAACCAGAGTTTACTTTTTTGGGCTGGAGGCTTCAGCCCCCTCCCCCCCGTCCCGATGAAAATGTCAAAAATTGTACCGGTATGGTGCTTCTAATATGACCTTGTCAGTATTGGTATGTTGAGTTGAAAAAATGGTCTGCGCAATTTTCAAATTTTCGGCCCCCCCCCCCCCCCCCTATTGGAAAATCCTGGATCCCCGCCTGAATTATTGACAAATTATCTGCTGGAATGGAAAAACATCTAGCATACAATAAATTTTGTCTGTACATCTTAGCTTGTGTTTTCGTTTTTTTCTTTCTTTTGAGAAGCATTAGATGCGGATTAATAAATATACCTTTCTTAATCTTTGGGGAATGAAAATAAAATCATTTCAAGTTGACATTGTGTTGATTATGCCAAGCAAATATTGTTTATGCCTGAAGCATAAGTGAAAAATAATAATTTAACCCATTGACTAATGAATTATTTTATTCCCATAAGTTTTGATATAGAAGCAACCCAGTTCAACCCTGTTAGGAAATGGGTTGATATGACAACGCATGCTAATGTTTACACGTCTTTGTTATCAAATGCTATTTTACAACCAAGGACCAATTCAATTTTCCATTATCCCACATGTAATACCGATCTGCAAAAAATAATGCCGCAAGCAAGATGTAAAAGGAAAGGGGTCAATGCACTGATGTTCACGTGCATGTCTTTTAGATCTCCTGAAAATTGAACATTGACTTACAAGGTATTATCCCCTTCCCTTACAATATTTTGTATACGGTTCAAATATATAAAATGTACTTGATGTACATTTGTACTTGATAAAAAAAAAAAACACCAACACCCACACGAAACAGCAAATACAAAAAAAAATTACCCTATCGAAATGGCAATGTCCTAAACATTACGCCGCATGGTTTTGCGAAAACTTATACCGAGAAAAAATTGCCCCTCCCCCGTAAAATTTATCCCTGGTTCGTCATTCCGTATATGGTTATGATTATGTATCGAGTCCTATGACGCTGATATATATATATATATATATAGTTGTACGAGGAAGTATAACAGTACTCTCATATATCATCTCATGGTGACTACATCTACCGAGGAATCATGGAGTCGGGATATTACTTGGATATAATCATTTCAATTGGATTC